TATGCGACCCCACACAACATCCTGACCGCCAACCGAGAAACTCTGTGTACAGGCTCTGTCAATACTGTCAATAATAATGTGGCAGCAATATTCACCACCAGGTTGCACAGGCAAATTATAAATCTGTGTAAATCTTTCAGATCGAATTCAACTTTGGAATATTCTGAATTGGTGCAACTGACCAATAGCAAGCTGTCTTATCAATGCTAATCTGAGGAAATGGAAATCTGAAACAGAAGAAGCTATCATGCTAGCTGTGTTGCCCCATCCAACTTTATCCAGGGTATAAACTACTCCATAAAAAAGACATGGTTTGGAATTGGTGAGACAGGTGTCAGTGCTAAATACATCTTTTAAATAAACTGTATTAGCTTAATTCAGCGACTAAGATAGCTACTGCAAGTTCCCAGCTAGCTATAGCATGTCACGAGAACTCCGACCCGACCCAAACCCAAACTTCCTTCCTTAAAATAAATAAATAACTTAAATAGTTTATTACAAGCTAAAGTAAACTACATTGTGCATATAGTATAGTGCAAATTATTATCAAAACTGATAACAAATTCACTCATTAATTAATGTTTAATGCAATATTATTAAATATTAAATACATATATGTATATATTTTAGTTTATTTGTGAATATTTGTGTGTTCTGAAGTACCTTTGTTCTGGAGCAGCCGTCACACTCAGACCAGTCTCCATAAGGCCCCCATCTGCAGTTTACAGGCTGCTGACAGCTGAGGGGGGGAATGTATGTTTTATTCCTCTCTTTAGAATGAATTGAAACATAATATCCATCTTACAGTACATAAAGGAGTAAAAAAAAAAAAAAAAGTAAAAACCACAGCCCTTTCACAACAAAAGTGTGGATATTAGATACATTTTTCACATTATCAATACTTTTTTACCAAAATGATGATAGAGCAGTAAGATGTGTGGACAGCTTGTATTTGTACACCTACCAAACTGGAGACAGAAAGACGAGCAATAATGCCGAAGAAGACAGAGCTCCAGCCAAATCCAACTGTACACAAAAGCAAGACAACTGTTAACTCAGCCTTAATCATATTAGAAAAACATAACAAAAAAGCATTATAAAGCACTTTTCTATTCTCAACTAAAGTTATCAGCAGCAGTTATCATCATAACATGAATAAAGTCAGTTTATCCAAGAGGATCAGATTCTTCTTGATCTTAACATGCTCTACACTGTAAAAAACTACTAGTTTATATTCTGTTTCATAAATAACACGTTGTTGGGCCACAGAAACCAAAATTATCAGTATTTAAAGTAAAAAAAAAAAAAGACATTTCTCGCCTCTTGCTAAATGTTTAAATATTAATATTAAATAAACTTTTACTTTATTATGAACTCAGTGTGAGACACACTTCCCAGCACGCACTCAATTAAGGTTAAATTATGATGGAGGCCAATAGGTGTCTTTTTACATGTGTCTCAAAATCTGATTTGTTAAATGAGAATTTCTAGAGGAATACAGTCATTACTTTGACTTAAATTAAATTAACAGTAAAGAGTCTGAGTTGTGATGATGTAAAATATAATTTCTAATAACAATTAACCTCTAACAATGATTCTAACTTGGAGTAAGTTAACAAAAGTAAAAATTCTAAATTGAATAAACTCAAAGCCTAAACTTAAGAAATTAATTTAAACAAACAATAAAAATCTTACTGAAATTCATTGGCCTGAAATCTCAAGTTTCCTCAACCTTTTCTTTCTTACAGAACAACAACAACACTGTCCACTGTTAGATATAATAGTGGCCCCAAGTCTGAATGGTAAATGTGCTATAGATGTACAGTACCTTCATGATGTGCTCCTCAGAGTTCAGCCCTCTCGTCTGGTCCAGCCTGGAACACTCAGGTTCATATAACCAGCATCACCAGAGATTTCACAACAGATCCCCGAGTTCAGGAATTCCCCCCATGAAGAAACTCTCATTGATTCAACAAAAAGCAGATTCATTCCGCTTCTGTTCACTCGATGAGTCACAAACAGAGACCCGGTGTTGCTTTCGACAACCTCGGCCCAAAGCCAGTTGGGCTTTATTTTGCTCTTTCATCTGCGCTTGAATGTTTCCAACTGTGAGTTTATTTCCAGTCAAAAACGTCACTGTTTGTTTTGAGTGCTGCAGGGTACAGGAAGGAGTGAACAGAGCGGCCTTACTGGATTGCGACAGGAGTATGTTGCATCACAAGTGGTTATCCTGAGTTTGAATAATTCAGAGGTCACAAAATTAAAATTTTTGCCTTTATTTTAATCTGTTGCTCTGTAAGCACAAAATGCATGTGGAAATTAACACCAATTTTCTATTTATGCTAGTATGTGAATATAAATGTAATCCACATTTCACATTTGTAACCAGAAATAGATGGTATCTTAATTAAAGTTATTCATTATATTTAAATTGTTTTATTGTTTTATCTGTTTATCTGTAAATTCCACAGATAAAGCAAATGTGTCTTTTGAAATGGTTTGTTTTCATCTTGGGCACAATTAAAATACGCTGAGTCGTAGTTTCTTTCCATTAAAAGTAAACTCAATGTGCTTTATGTTCAAATACATACAGCAACAAGCAACATGTCCAAATGATTATAAAAAATAAAACACTAGAAAATGGAACAGCAACTAAAGAAAAAATGAGAAAGATATACAATACCAAGACAGTGATAAATCCCACATGTGGTCCACAGAAAATCCAGTGTGTTGTACAAAGGGGACACAGTTGTGACTCATCTCACGTCATCATGCAGTTTGTTCCAGAGATCATGACCAATGTAACAAAAAGCAACCTCAGCACATCTGGAGCTCTGACTGTAGCCAGTGAGCAGTGAGTCACTACAGGCCTACAAACATAGTTAGTTATGGTTGCCATCTAGTGGTGATTCATTTTTATTCTTTATCACCAAGACACAGATGTCATACCGTAGCTCCACAATATGTCTATCTGTTTTTTATTACAGATGAAGCAGACAGTGTGTGCCCTTCTTTCATTCTTGGTCTTGGGACATTCTTTGGGTTCTCATCTCAGCTGAGCTGTAGAAGGGATTCTCAGCCAGGGGCTTGTTTGGCAAATTGCAGTTCCACAAGACCCATCTCGCCTCCACCTGTATTTTTTACTTTAATTGGTATTATTATTATGGTTTCCCTTTTCTATTTCTATCCTTATTTATATACTTAGAACTTATTCTGCTTTTCTTTTTTTAAACTTTATTTCCACCCTCATACCCCCACGTGCACACACCTGCACTTGATAAACGGCTCTAGGTGGGTGGTCGTCTGTCTCGACCAGTTGGGGTGAGAGAGAGAGAGAGAGAGAGAGAGAGAGAGAGAGAGAGAGAGAGAGAAAGAGAAGAAGAAGAAACAACTAAAAGCCAAAGTAGATTGGAATATTATCTTGCCCTTAAAAGAGATTATGAATTAGCAGAATATCTCTCTACTGTCAGAGATAGAAAGCAGAGACAGATCCTAACCAAGTACAGGCTCAGTGACCACAAATTGGCAATCGAAACAGGAAGACACAAAAAATCATGGCAACCAAAAGAAAACTGAAAATATGGTCACTGTTCGACAGGTGAGGTTGAGACAGAGATGCACTTTCTCCTACAATGTACAAAATTAAATAATACTAGAAAAATGTATTTGAACAAGTTCAGCTCTTTGGTTCCAGATTTCAACGACCTCTCCAAATTAAAGGTACTCCTCGGAGAAGGAGAGCGGGCACACCTTGCTGCCCAGTATGTATTAACATGCCACAACCTGAGGGACAGTGAGTGATCGAGGCACACGCACACACAGACACACAGACATACACACTGTATATAACTAATATAATGTTCATATAATAATAATGTATATATCTTTGATTTATTGTATTGTATTTGAATACTTTGCTTTGGCAATATTGTTTTTTTTTTAAAAAACTTTCATGCCAATAAAGCCCATTTTGAATTTTGAATTTAATTGAATTAAGAGAGACAGACAGACAGACAGACAGACAGACAGACAGACAGGTGCACAGCAACAACAGTAGCAACAACTACACTAATAGTGACTGATGACAGCAACGATGGGGGACAATGAGCAGTGACAACAGCAACAACAGTAACCGTAGCTATAATAATACTTATAATAATAATAACACTAATATCAGTGATATTGGCAATGGCAGTCAAGCAGGACCATGGCAGGAGGCTCCACCAGGATCCATGAGAACCTGCGGAGCTTGGTAACTGAAGGCTCTGGCTCCTGTTCTACTTTTAGAGACAATAGGAACCACAAGTAGCCGCGCATTCAGAGAACGTGGGGTAATAGGGTACTAGGAGCTCTTTCTATGAAGGGGCCTGACCATGAAGATGATGGTTGATGAGTAAGTATTGATTGCAAGATCTGCTCCTCTCCTGTGTGTAATGTTAATTTCTTAATGATCCTTACTTCCTGAAGTTAAGCAGCTGTAGTTAAGTAACAATGAGCAAATATTACTGGCACATTTTTGGGTGAATTAAGTATGCAAGAGTATGGAGTTTATCCTTTACTGGACGGGCCAATTAAAAGGTATTCACTTCTTCAGGCGCCACTACACCACTGACCCCTGTCATGCTACCATGTCATACACTATAATATATGATTATTATTACTATAACATTACTGTGGAGTTAATTTACCATACTTTATATAAGGCACTATTTGCTTTAATCCTTAAAAATATGTCATTTTACAAACTCTAGAGGATTTCTGTGTACAACTTTAATCTGATGAGTAACTAAAGCTGTTGTAAAGTAAAAATGACAATACTGGTGCAATAAGTATGAAGTAGCTTAAAATTCAAATACTTTCCACCACTGTGTTTCAGTCAGTTCTCCTACTGTACCCCACCGACAGATGGCGCTCTTTCTCTGCCTCAGAAACTACAGAGTGACTGTTACAGCTGTGCTCCTGCTCAAAACACACACACACACACACACACACACTCACACACACACACACCGACAGCCAGACAGCCAGACAGCCAGTGTTTCTTCGACAGCGTCAACAGCTATCACGGACCTCGGTGAGACGCGTTCCGGTGCGGGTTTTAGAGGGTGTCCGCGGTCTGTTCAGGGGGACTCTGGACTTCATTGCCGCTGTAGGACTGGGAACAGACTGCTGTCCTCTCCACCACAGCGGTGAGCTGCCTCTTGTCCCCCCCCTGCATGTTCCTGTGTGTGTACGCTGCTGTATGTAAACCGACAGTGTCTGACTGTGTGTGTTTGATCATAAAGTCTCAGCAGTCTCCTCACAGCAGAGCCAGTTGCTGCTTGTTGTTGCACATTATCGGATCAGAGCTTTCAGCGTTTTGTGCACATTTTCTGCAGGAATCTTGCACAATCTTAGAGAGCACACTGGGAAAAACAAGATTTGACCCCAGACCGTGAAAAACTAACTGGGGGTGTCATTAAACTGAAAATACTGTGAAGAATAAGTTCAAGCTCGACAAGCAGGTTTGAATGTGGTAGATACATCTGAGTACAGGTGGTAAAAGGTGGAAAATAACATGTTTTAGGTTCTCAAGACCCCATGAAGTTCAGTTTTGAGGGACTTAATAGTGCAAAAACTGTTTATTGTTGATGTGTTTATGTATTAGAAAGTAGAATATTTACAGCCAAAACAGTTAGTCCATAATCAATCAGTTGATCAACATTATATCTGCACCTATTTGAGAATGATTTGTGTCATTTTCCCAAATAAAAATGCCAAACATTCCCAAGTTGCAGCTTATTAGATGGACGGTCTTTTTCTTTGTCTCATGAGATAATACAACTATAATAAAAAATGTTTGGTTTTAGACGGTTGGTCAGACAAAACAAGCACTTTGAAAGGATATCATTTATTGTTATTAGATATTGTTTTGCCATTTTTCATTATTTATGACATTCTATTGAATAAGCGACTTATCAATGAATCAAGTAAATAATATTTGGTAGATTATAAATTTAAATAGATAATTAAAATAATAGTTTGATGTAGCCCTGAAATGAGTTTGTTACATTTAGCTCAACTGCGTCATACATTTGATGGCTGTTAGTCACATATTATGTTTTAGATAAAGATTTTATATCCAAACATATTGAATTGAATAAATTATGATGCATGGAAGCAGCACCATTAGCTGGTGGGAAAAGTGGAACATATAAAGCAGTTTAAAGGACCAGTGTGTGAGATTTAGTGGCAAAAAACAACAACAAAACAACAAAAACAATGCTGCTTTAACTTGTTGTCTATGACAGCGTCTTTTCAATACTACTACCTGGGAGAGGACACCAAAGTTACACAGTGTAAAAATTGTACGCATTGTGGCTTTAAATGACTGTAATTAATGAAAAGTGCATAATAGAAACAAAATGTTAAAATTAAAACTCCATTTAAAGCCCTGACAATCATACACAGATGTACAGCAATGTTCATTCATTTGTGGGTGGTGCATATTTACACTATCACAGATACATATTGAATCAGATTCTGCAACGAATGAAGTGAAAAAGTTACAAAAACATTTGGCACAGAAGCCTTCAGGCCTTATTTTTCTGCCTTTTACCTGAGATGGCGTTCCCCTGGTTGTTGAGGTATTTGGTCTTGCAAAGTGAAACACATCTGATACAACAACAATATGTTCCCGCCCTGCGGTCCTTTTACATTTGCAGTTTCTTCTCCAAAGCAACCACAATGAATGTGAACACAGGCGCACACAATAGTATCATCATAGCATCAGCAGATATACATATATATATATATATATATATATATATATATACACAGTAAAACGTACATGTAAGTTTTACTGTAAAACAGAATTCATAGTTTCTAATTATAAATATAAAATATCACATCTCAATAACACTGTATTGATTTGTGTTTAAACTCCCAACCACTGGATAGCCGTGTTGTAAAGGTAAACTGAGGGCTAAAAATCACAATATATCGCCTTATTTGCAGTATCGCAATATATCGGATCGTAACCACTGTATCGTGATACGTATGTTATTGTCTGATTCTTGCCAATACACAGCCCTAGTTCTAATGTCCTCTTACAGCAAAGTTTCTAAACCTTTATGTCCCATTACCCCAGTTTCAGGTGCACAAACTGTCACACCCCTCGAGTGTTCAAGTTATCAGGGATACTTTTGGACCTCAAAATGGATTGTATGGAAATACAGTTTTTTCGTTTCATTGCATAAATATCAGAAACCTCCCACTGCCCTCTCTGCAGCTGCAGAGGTTACATATCACAGAATATGTCTTAAATTGCAATAAAATACATAAGAAATGTGACTATTGGCTGCTCCCAAACTGTTATGACCTTGAGTATGTTTGTGGAGTCCACACCTGTTCATTTAAACAGTTTCTGCCATCTGTAGCTTTGAGTGTAGTTTAGTCTATTAGTCTGTCTTATCAGCATGAGAAATCCCAAAGTCTAAAAGCTCGTCTGCCCTCAGCTGCATGGTAAACAGAGATTATAAAGTCATTGTGCCGCGACTACAGCAACGTTTATGTTGGTGAAAATGAAGACTCCCAGCCCTAACGTTGCATATATCTAACCTCCACTTAACCCAACACAAGTAGTGAAAGATTATCTGACTGATGCAGAACATTTGCAGCTTTAAGAGTACAAAAAGCCAGGCAAGATTTATCAGCCAATATTCTACGTATGTGTGTATGGCCTGTGCACAGCAGGTCACACTTAAAAACAACACGTGCTTCACAACAGCTCCTAAAATAGATAACCTCGATTAAATTCAAGAGGTGTTCATTCAGTATGACATCAACAGCTCAGTAATCCTCTCCTCTGATAAACTGAAATGAGCCAATGTTTGGCATTAGTGCTAATGGGCAAGCATTAGCACGTTTGCTTCCCTATTAAGGCTCATTCATTTCAGTCATGTGATAATTTTTTTTCCTGTTCTATCTGCCCCAGAAATCCCTTTTCACAAGGTGGGGTCAAGAACATTTGATACCTCTTAGACACATGATCCTCTCCCATATACCCTCTCTTTACAGGAATGCTTCTGTGACTTGTTCAAACGTTTCTGGCTGTTAGAAACACATTTTTAGGCCATGAAGTAATCATAATGCCAGAAATAAGACAGTTGTTAAGTTGCCACCAAAATCTGAAAATGACATTGCTGTTTGAGTAAGGAGGCTTCTCCAAACAGGTGATAGAGATTTGTGAAATATTTTTAAAAGATATTTTAATAAATCAGGCTGAGAATGTCAATTACAAGATGAAACAACAGACCGGTTGTGATGCTAGATGGATACGTATGGTGCGATGGAACACATGACATGAAACAGGTGAAGTGTACCAGACTTACTCAATATGCATACCCGTCCTTGCAGGGACAACTTTCAACCTATTTTAGTATTATGTGTAGATTAGATTCTTCCCGCGCCCTTGCGTTGACCACACCCAGAATGTAGTAGGGTTGGATTTCAAAAGTGCTTTGAAGAACCCAGTGCTGTTGGCTGGAAGTGTATGTCACATTTAGAACAAACAGTTCACTGTTTCGAAACACTTCTGTCCAAGAAGGATAAACAGTGTGAATAATAACAACTAAAGTGTGTAATGAACACATAAGCCCTGGATGAAGTTGGAGCACAGTATCAGTTGAAGTGGAAGTGCTGGAAGGAGCTGTGATGTATGTTGGAGTGGAAGTGATAATGGAGATGGAAGTCCTAAAAGAAATAAGTTTCATTTCAAGCGCAAAAACTGAAGGAAGGTTTCTGAAAGAAGTTGAAGTGGCAGTTACGTAATCAGTGAAGGGAGCTGAAATGTCATTAACTGGAAAAGCTGTGTGAGAATCAGTTGGACCAGACATTAAACAGACTTAACCTTGCTAGCGCCCCCTAGTACCAAGTCCGTCTAATGTCTGCTTGAGCCCTTGTGTTAGTAGAGCAAGTGGAAGAGACTGTCGGAGTGGGAACGTTTGCTGAATCAGAACTTTTTTGCAAAGTTGATGAAGTTTTTTCAAATTGTGCCATTTCCGTCAAAGATTTTGAAGGCTGGAGATATATTTGCTTTTAACTCACATATCCTGGATCTGTTTGGGCCGTTAGTTGTGCACGTCCTCAGAAATCATCACAACATGCTCGCAACACAAACATGTGGTTAGAAGCCAAGTATACCTCTGGCTTAACGTGATACATCAAAACAGGCATAAAAATATATTGAAGCATGAGTAGAAACATGGCTAAGAGAATTTGCAGTGAGTGAGTAAGGGCGTGTTGATGACGTTACACCGAGTGTAGCTGCTTTGTACTCTTTTCTGCTTGCCTTCATATTGTTGATATCGCCTCTACGTCATCATTACGGATGAGTCCTCCTCCTGCTCCTGCACGCTCTTCCCAGGCGCCATCCCTCCAATAGGGCAGAACACGTCTGGCATGGACAATGCTTGAGTGATGATAAGAAGTACTTGAAGGAGTTAGTGTCAGTTTAAGTGTAAAAACTGAGAACACATATCAGTTAAAGTGTCATTCATTCAAATGACTTGTAGAAAACCAATGAGTGATTTGATATGTAGAAGTCAAATCCTACATAAATCAAAAAGAATGAAAAGTTTAGGAGGCAAAATGATCTCTTGGGTTCCTGTCCTAAAGGGTTCAAAGTATTCAGCTAAATATTTGCAAAGAGGGAACAGAGTTCATCCAGCTGAAGGTTCGGATGTGTGCACTGGAGCAGAGTTTACATACTGAGACGTAAAATCATTGAATGAATGTTTTTATCTGAAACACTTATGACTCTATTCAGGTTTATTATGGGTGTACCCAACCTCACCCGAATTAAAAAAAAGTTGAGGAGCGGTAATGGTGGTAGTGGGCTGGGCCTTCATGTGTTGTGGCTCAGCAGGGTGGACTGCACTGAGAAACTAACATTCACCACATGTTTCCTCCACAGCTCAACACCATGGCTGCTGCTCTCACCATGCTCTTCTTCGTCCTTCACATCTTCACTGCTTCAGCGCTGGAATCAGCCTCTGAGCCAGGTATGTTTATGAATATTGACATTTATGGCAACTGCTGTCTTCAGTTTTCTTGCATAGTTGAATTGGATCCAAATGTTTTCTAATTTGTGGACAGATTTGAGAGTTTAAAGTTTAAAATTCAGTTTATTATATAACATACATTGACATATTGCATTATGTTACTGGCAGCTTTTATGCTTGGCATTGAAGATGCTTTCTTTAACATCGGCTGTCTTATGATGCCAAGATTACCCAATTCCTGTTGATCGATTTTGTTGCGAATAAAATATTGCTCAACACCAGATGGAACAAATTTTTGACACAAATCTGCTTTTAATGGACCACAGGACAATATAAAACATTTGCAAGTGCATAGTTACTGTGCTGCCTTGGCCTTCAAATGAGATGTGTTGCACAACAGTGCTCCACACAGAGCCACATGGAACAGCCAGCGGATTTCTAGTAAAGTGGCTTCCCAGGAATTCGGAGAGCAGAGAGAACTCCACTGCTGAACAATGGAAAGCTGTTTAGAGAGTGTGTAGAGGCCCCCCTTTCTACCAAACAGCCCCTCAGTGACAGTGGAAAGGCTGTTTATTTGCATACATGGGTCGTATTTTATCCACATATATAAACAAATTCTGCACTGACCACTAAAGTCATGCACGGACATCCTGTACTTTGTCTTGTTACATAACACTGTCAGTAATTTGGTGGAGATTTGGATGGAGGACGTGTTCCCCTCTGCTCCTGTTCTCCTGCCACTTGTTCTGTTTTTGTCTCATGCCTTTATATTGTATTGAACTAGGCTGCTGTGTTCTGACAGGAATGTTTTCCCCTGTAGCATAATATGCGAGGGAGAGCTGACTGCGGTCAAATTGAAATAAATGGTGCTTCAGCCAAGTGTAGTTGTTTTAATGCAGACTCGGTAGCAAGTTTGACAACTTATTATAGCCTGAAGATTCCTGAATTGCTGCTTTTATCTCAAACTGCGGATGTTGGCGGCGGTGAATGGCTGCTTTTCCTGTGAGAGACTACATAACAAAAGAACAAATATTGAAATATTTTTTCAATATTTATGATCTAACCGCTATTAGCAGGCAGGAGCTATCAAAAACAGCCAATGCCTGCTGGCTACCTTTTGCTAACTAGCAACGTTAGCTACCCCACTTTGCGTATTTTTACTCACATGATCAATTCCCATCAATTGTAAAACAAATATAAAAAAAAAAAAAACAGCCGGGGAAAGAAGAGCTAACTGCTAACAAAATAAGTGCTAAAAATGTAATATTCAGACAGCAAGCTGCTACTACTGCATATGCTCCTTTAATCCCTGCTGTGATACACAGGTTGCTGCTAGCCATACACTCTCATTACGTAGAGCGGTTTGTAGCAGAAAGCACAAACTTAATAGAGTTGCTTGGGAATGGTTAGCAAAACACTTAATAGCCAGTTTAGCTACATTGGCCCAAAGCGGATAGTAAAACTTTGAAGCTTATTTTGCTCCAAGACTGTATTTATTTTAAATTGTGTGTTCACTGCTGATGTAGCCCAAACCCTGAAGATATATGCCGGGCTTTGAAGCCAGTTTGACGTAATAGTCATACTGTGTTAATTATAACTCCTGGGTCCGTAATGTGACGCCAGAAAAGCCCCCCCCTCCCTCAAGCAAGATAGTTGAGATCTTTAATAAGTCATCTACTCCTTCTGCCTCATTAAAAATTCCAGAATCTATGAATATGAACGTTTCAATCATTTTAAAGTTTTCCTGCTGGACACAAGATGTCACTGTCAAGTCCATTGTCATTGACCTCCAAACTATTTGTGATGTCACAAATCATGCTTGTAAACCCCACCCCTTAAAATCAGATTCTCCATATGCACCGAGAAACTTTCCACTTCCACTCATCAGCAGATGAATGTGACAACATCCTTCTAGTGTGAACATACATCATTCTGCTCAGTGAACATCAAACATCACACTGTAGGAACCAGAAGAAAACCTTTCTTTTGAGTGGAGTGGGACTTTAAGCTTAGTGCTGTGTTGTTTCCTACTGTAGTACTTTTGCTTTGACTTTTTATCAAAGAACCATTTTGTGTTGATGATTCAACCAGGAGAGTTTCATGTACTCTGTCAGCTGACATTGCCTGTGAGAAAATGTCTGGGACTTTTTCCTTTTAGAACACTGGTCGCCAGAAATAACTCATTTCCCAACTGTATTGGAGCACTAGCCGTCAGAGGTACCACTTCTAGAAATGGAATGGTCCCTGTAGGGGTGATTGTGATAGTGTTTTGTTCTCCTCACTACCTGAGCAGCACTGTTTATATCGCTCAGGAAACAGGACATTGGTGCTTAATGTCATTACGTTTCTCGGCTGGAGAGGTTATACTGTCACTCTTCCCTTTCTGTCATACACAAGCTTTATTTCTGTCCACGTTGTGCCCATTAGGCTTGTTAGGTTAGCGAAAGGGTCAGTAATCACTGATGAGAGCATTGTGGCCCTTAGCCAGGGAAGGAAATGGCTTTCTAAATGCAGAGGATGAGGTATTTCCCCCTGAGAGCACTGATTGATCTCTAAACATGTGACTCTCTAAATAACCGTTTGCCCTGTGTGCTCACAGGAAAGCCATTAATGAAGGCTTCCCACCAACACACTGTGCAGATGTTAATAGATGCTGTGATTGGAAAAACACACATTAATTATCATCATGAGGTTGTATAAACAAAGAATGACAATAAGCAGTGTTCTGCCTGATAATTTATGGTATCTGCTGAATGTGTGAGTGAGTCCTTTAAAGGAAATTAATGCAGAAGCTATTTCCTGCCCCCTTTGAAATCATATGTGAAAGGAAACACATCTGCGCTTATGAAAACATATTGAGCGAGGATGTTTTGTTTCACCCGGAAATAGCCTGTCTCAGCAGTACTCAGAGAAAATCATGCTGTAAACATGTTTACCTCGTAGGGTTGTGGCACTGTGCCTTGGAAAGTGGAGTCCTGTAATGAGAATATGTTGTAAATTGATATTACCATCCTGGAAATTGTCTGTGTGCCGACTGTGTTAAGAAAAGTGCTCTGTGACTACTGCTCACATGTTTACTTACACCAGAAGTGAACTCTGCCGGCTCTGTTGCGCAAACACAGCAGCACTTTCTTTGATAAGCACACAAGCAGAAAAATGTACAGTTTGCAAGCTAATCTAGTTATTCTAACCACACTCTCTGCTAATAAGGACCAGATGTACACAGTATATGTATGAATTAGGCATCATAAAGCAATACATTCCTTTTGCTTTTATTCTCTTTAAATACCTTTCTCATGCACTCAGTGGTGGAAGAAGTATTCAGATCCACTAAAAGGCCTTCATTCAAAAATTCACTGAAAAAGTACTGAATTGTCAGCACAATATAAATCCCCAAAACACTTTTAGGTTTGTACACTAGGGTTGTAAAATGTTTCCTGGGCCCAGTATGCCATCTTCAAATTCAGGGACCATGCGTTTTAATATGGAACAATTCGGTGCGAGTCATAAAACTTAATTCTGACTTGTATCAGTAAATCTTTACACCCCTACTATATTATATTAGTAGATTATTTAGTGTTGTAGTAGCTGGAGGAGGTCATTCTGACTACTGAGCTAATATGTTTTGTATGTAATGTAAAATCTGAGAAGTACTACGAACAAACGGCTGTCTACTTGAAATTATTGCAACAGAACGTAATGCGCCGGGAATATGATCTTTATCAACGTAACGTTGATAGTTAACATGTCTGGCAACTTGCAAAATGTTGATACAAAATGTATCAACATAAAATGTTTACTGGCAGTGTATTTTATTTGTTTTCCTGCAATATCTGCTCATATCAACTAAAGCATATTAACACAGTTTATGGTATGGATCCTCACAACTCAGGGAAATACCGTGCTCTTGGTTTAACAGAAAATGTCAAAAATGTGGCCACAAGACATGACAGGTTTACATTTTTAACATGGCTTGACTGAAACCGCCATATTTCCCTCAATCAACATGCTTTTGTTGTCTAAACCGTCACACTGGACCCAGCATGCCAACCCCTGTGATTTGTATGCCCACTATCCGCCCTGACTACCTATGCCGTGCAGTAAATAAACATAGCCCTTCGCACAATTAAGAAAAAATGTATCCACATACAGCCAGTAATCACACTGCCCCCAAAATGCCACACATGTTCCCTGTCACACACGTACCAACTATCCACAAGCCACAAAAATGCTCTGCATAGCTGAGTGTCAAATTGATTTTTCTCGTAATCCTGAGCTAAGCAAAACACAGTTCGGAGGAGGAGTCCAGGATCTGGTAAACAGGTTATTTTTAACCTGTAGCTCCCCTTTCCCTGAAGCGCCCTAAGCAGGCCAGAAGTATTCATCATCTGCTCCGAGAGCTGCCTCTCAGCAGTGAAGGAGCCATCTTGTCCTTGCGCTTCTGGGTACTCAGCCAGCCCAGTCTTGTGTGTTGTTCCTCTGTGAAATGTTGACGTGGTCAGCTGACTGCTGCTGTGCCCAGAATCATTGATCACAACGCCTCCTGGTAATTCAATCAGCAGTGTTTACTTAACAGGAATGTAAAGGGAAAAAAGCTTGCTCTCCTCTTTGTGCAAAGGACAAGTTCACCATCATTAAACAAACACTCCACAGTAACTAGCCATGCAGATCGTTCTCCAAGCAAACTCTATCCACTTATGGAGGCTGTGAGATGATCTTGAAAAAGATAGTAAGTGTACCTTGAGTCAAACCTGCTGCAAGGTTTTTTAGTTTGGCCCATGTCCCATCTGCTAACATGGAGGCAGCGAGCTTTATTTTTAGACTCACAATACACAGTTAAAAGAAAATATATCATCTTTTTCATTCTACTCATTTCTTGTTGCGCCTACATGGAGATTCAGGCTAGTAGTGGCTGATGTAGCCTTGAACCGCTAGCCTCAAACACAAATGAGGAGTGGGCTAGGTCTAACAGGCTCACTCCTTTTTCATTTTCAAACTTGTAGTCTTCTGACATATTTCATTTTTTTCACATTTTATCAGATGTCACACAGCTCCAATGTAAGCACAAAATGCTCCCCTTTAACAAATAAAAGCTTAATGTTTTTCCAAAGGTGTTGGACATAGTATCCATCTTCAGCACACATAAATCAAGTCATTTCTTATACTGACTGCTCTGTGCACACATGGTTCGAGTTTATGCAGGCAGTAAAACAGGATCCAAGTTGTGAGCAAGTGCGTTTCTGAGTAAAGAGAATGCACATAGCTTATTCCACGACAGCTGTGACAGTGAACTCTCCAGCTGCAGCTTTCACGTAAGAATGACTTCCAGGAAAAAGCTGATATTTGCCCTGTGGCTGGGCTGCTCACTGGAGTTAGGTTACAAGTTGTTCTGCTGTCTCTAAAGCGAGGCGTAGCTGCCCTAACGGCAAAACAGAATTTCACAGTATCAAAAATGATGAGATATGTAATTGTTTTCCTCTCTCTGTTTCCCTACAGTGCTCCCCCAGAGACACCCACACCTCACTGGCTGTGTCTCCACCAACATGGAGACTTTCCGCTGCAGATGGAATGTCGGCACTTTCCAGAGCCTCTCTGAGCCGGGAGAGCTCCGCTTATTCTACATGAAACAGATGTAGGGGGAAAAACTTTGTCATGACTAACAGAAATATGTGGTTTCTCTGTGCTTTCAAGGAAATCAGGGTAACAGATAGAAAGAAGCAAACGGGAAAGAGGCTATGGTTTCTTTTTATTTTGATACAACTTGGCAGAGTACAAATAATACATTATAACAAGAGTGACTATCCAGGCTCATATGCATCAAAGATGATAAATTACAATAATAGAAAATTTCAACAATACAAAAACAAATAGAAATCAGATTTAAAAAATATAAAGAAATTTGATAAATGTGTGGGTGGTCTATACATTTTGCATAATTATGGTCTTAGCATCCTATACAGTGCAATACATTTTCACATTTTTAACATTTCAGCTGCCTTCACTAAGAGATAAAGTAATAACTATATTAGTAATAAACAAGTACATGTGTGTGATCCAGATAATAAAAATAAATAAATAAATAAAAAAGAATATTAGGAAGAAACAAAAAGAGGAACCATTGGATTACATGTGTCTGATAAGGAAAGAAGTGTCAAAAAATGCATGTTGGTTTTAGCAAATGTAGGAACTTCAAAAATCCTTCTTCTCTCAGCTGCTGAAGTGACGATGGTCAAGCAGACTCGCTGCTTTAACAACTCAAATGTGAACATTGTTGTGTCTCTGCCTTATCTGGTGCACCTGCTCACTCTGTTGACAAGGCAAAAGTCCACAAGATTTCTTAAAGTTGCTAGTACGATGGAAAGAACAAACCTGACAGTCTTTCAGTGCTTTCTGATTTCCCTACCCTGTCTTGTATTCAGCCCTAAGCAGCTACTAAAGACAGCTTGAAATTATATAGCTTTATTTTATTTATTTAAATCCTGAGAAATGTAGTAAAACAGCAGGGCCCTGTCGCTTTCAGAAAACTTTAGTCCAACAGGAGAAAATGTTGTAATTGTTGAAGACCTTCAGCCATTTGGTGCTCTGATGAGTTTTAGGGCCGTCACTTTTTCAAAAAGCCATATTCAAACAAATTCAAACTAACACGTAATTCATTAGAATTATTTGGAACACAACCCTTGTAGCACATCCCCGAAAAAAGGATTACATTTTGAATCAGAAGTAACCCCCCTCACTCCAGATGCCCGGGTCAGGACTTTCTGAGACACTGTTTAATCCAATTTGGGAGTGCAATCGTACTCCATGAACCTTCCTCTACCACTGCCTTCAGGCCAGAATGTCAGCTTGTTCACAAGATGTCTCATGATCTAATTGGCACATTGGCATGATATTTACTGAGCACATTCATGCTGCCCAGAGGAGGAAAGGGAAACTTTATATCTTAAGCCCCTCCAATGGTAAGGGTCTTAGAATCACTAAAACATTATGTACATTCTGTATACCCTGTTAGGATCTACAGCTAAAAAGATACTCACTAAACTATTTAGAACGGCTTTGTGGGGTAGATTTTCTGACTGAATGAGAGGCGTTTCATCTCACCTCCTTCCTCTCGTCCCCCTGCAGACCCCTCTCTGCCACTTCTAAAGAGTGGAGGGAGTGTCCCCACTACAGCACCGACAGGCCCCACGAGTGCTTCTTCAATGAGAACCACACATCTATATGGATAACTTACAAAGTCCAGCTCCGCTCGAGGGATCAAACCGTCCTCTACGATGAGAACCTCTTCGACGTTCAAAACATCGGTGAGTTTACAGCCTCGCTGACCGCCTGTCATGATCCAGATTAGAGAAGGTTGATGAAAGCGGATTAAAACCCCATGTACAGTTGTGAGGTTTTGCCATATTCTACTGTTTCTTTCCACTCCATGGTTAAAAGACCAGCACAGGGCACTTGGGGGAATATCGCATTCTGTCCACTTACTTTTGTCCAAATAGTTGAAAAAGGCAGTCTAGAGCAGTGATCTTGAGGGATTAGGTCTTTTTCTTCCATCAATTAATTTAATCCATTGGAGGACTTCAACCAACATGCCTCTACCATCCATATATTATACAATGAATTCATGAATGCATGAGTCAGTGTAAACTATAGGACTATGCTGTCGGTTAAAACCCTGAGATTCTTGTTCACTTGCTGATGATACAATTATCCTAAAATTATGTTCTGTTCTACAGTGCAACCGGATCCTCCTGTCGGCCTGAACTGGACACTGCTCAATGTGAGTTTGACCAGCACTTACTACGACATCATGCTGAGCTGGAAGCCGCCTCTGTCTGCGGATGTAGAGATGGGATGGATGATGCTGCAGTATGAGGTCCAGTACCGCGACGTCAGCTCGGACGTGTGGGAAGTGGTGGGTGTCTAATAAAGGTTTTATTTTTCAACTTCAGTGATGTTGTAATTAAGTACCATATTAACTACTTATCAAATACATTTCATGTCACGATTATCTTAATTGTGATACACGATATTATCACGATAATCATGAAAATATACTTCATACATACAGACATCCTGGAATCACTTTACCTTACATTTTGTGAAGAAACATGTATTTCTTGCATCGCAGATCAATAAAATCATCGCATCCCTAGTCTCTAATATACCTTGACTGATTTTAAAAGTAAACTTTTTCTTATTGTATTGAAAGGGGAATGTTTCTTAGAGGAAAAGATTGTGATGCTGTGTTTGAACCTCATTTTCTTCACCACAGACCGACCTTGTGAAAAGCACCCAACGCTCCATTTATGGACTTCAAACTAATGTCAATCACGAGGTCCGGGTCCGGTGCAAAATGTTCGGTGTGAAAGAGTTTGGAGAATTTAGCGACTCAGTATTCATCCACATCCCATCTAAAGGTAAACACTCATTGCAATGTTTACAGGCTGGATGGACAAAGCTGTTACAAATGCTGTTCCAAAGGTTTATCAGTTTCACATTTAACTTGTAGTTGCTGTAGCTCCTTGTCGGTATAAACAAGCCTCTCAATGCTTGCTTTTAGTCTGACAGCTCCCCTCTTTTCACTGTGCATCAGTAGCTTGAATCGATATCGACAAAAAATAGCCCCTATGGTAAACAGTAAAGTAGAAGTACATTTATATTTGTACAAGGTGCTCCTCCATTTCTTTACCTGTAAAAGATGGGAGCCATGAATTGGAAGCAGCATTAAAGGACTTTCTGTCTCAAATGTTTTAGTTAGTTTGGACATAAACAGCACTGTAGTTCTGTAGCTTTAATATAATCATGATGGTATAACAAGACTGAAAGCCGACAGCACTGAGTCTACAGCAGTGCTAGCAGCTCTGTGAAGATGTACTTGCTAAATGCTAACATCAGCATGCTAACATGCTCACAACGACAATGCTAACTTGCCAGTGTTTCGCAGGTATAAAGTTAACCATGCTCAAATAAGTGCAATATAAGCAAAATTGTGTCCATTTCTTCTCCCAGTGTCGAGGTTCCCAGTGGTGGCCCTGCTCATCTTTGGTGCCTTGTGTTTAGTGGCCATCCTGATGTTAGTCATCATATCACAGCAGGAAAAGTAAGTATTTTACAACCATCAGGAGTTCTGTGTGTGACTGTGAGGTTTTGAGAAGCTTAGAGAAATGAGAAAGTGCAGACTGCTGCTCAGTGAGAATCACAGTGTGTGGACGGCTTGACCTTGAAAAACTGCCTCTGTGACTCTGTTATTCAATGGTGTTAAACAGCGAGACTTTCTATACATGTATGCACATGAAGTTAAGTGTGTTTTTGTTGAAGTCAGAAGCTGTCAACTTGTGACACTCCATTACCAACTTTAGTCTGACATTGCCTCCACTCTCATCGGTTTCCGTGGGGGAGGGCCCAAGCGGGATTTGTTTTTCCAAAACTAACTAGAGACCAACATGTTCGCCTGGATCCAACTTCATTTTAAGTTGACACTGATGGTAGTCATGCCAACATGACATGACATGACAACATGTTTTTCCAGGGGTGTGTGTGCAACATTTAGGAGGATATTTTGGCAGAAATAGAATATAATATTCACAGGTATGTTTTATTAGTTTTTAATCACCTGAAAATAAGAACCATTGGGTTTTTGTTGTAGCCTAGAATGGACCAACCAAACACTGGCTCTAGATAGGGTAATGCGTATGCATTTTTGCTGAGTTTCGCAGCCACCATAGTTTCTTTGACACACATGGAATGGGAGGGTGAGGCGAGTTGGTTGCAATCTGCAATCTCACCTCTAGATGCCACTAAATCCTACACACAGGTTGTTTGAGAATGCAGCGGAGTGAAGTAAAACAAACTGTTGTCAGGTGACATTAAGAAGATACAGTCTTATGTCTATGTAAAATAAAAGCCTCGATAGCAGCGTCTATCTCGTCTCTAGCGGTTGCCATTGTCAGTACTGCTCCTCCTTCGTTCTGGTGCAGAGCTTGACAATAGCGTTAGTCCCGCCCGTGGCCCTGATTGGCTTTTTAAACTGAGAAACTGCTTTTTCATGCAATTATGCCAGACCAGAATCAATCAACTTGGTGGAGTGGGTGGATTCAAAGGTCTGGACCCAGGCAAATGTGTTATGTGAAATTTAACTTTTTTTCTTTTTTTCCCTCAAGGTTGATGGTTATTCTTTTGCCTCCTGTTCCTGGACCTAAAATAAGAGGAATTGACCCAGAACTACTCAAGGTATACCACTTTATTCTGAGGTAAAACATGAAGTGAGCTCACCCAAGACAGACAATAATCAGTAATAATCCCTCTGACTGTGTGCAAAGTTGAATCAGGAAGTATGTTTTCGCTTCTAAATAAGTTTGGCTAACCTGTGGGCTTGTTTACAACCTGCTTGTGTATTTTGACCCATCTGACATAGCCTTAGCTATGTCACTGCGTTCCCAGTTCTCAGGGATTTTTTCGATGAGAACAATTTTATATGGCCAAGGCCCCCAAAAAAAGACCCAAGTTGTAATAAACTGGAATTATCCCTGAAGCAGCTGAGCCAACTGGCCAGCTGAATGTGGTCTCCTGAGTGTATCAACTTTTATTTTCTTTACCTCACAGAAAGGGAAGCTGAGGGAGTTGACATCCATCCTTGGTGCTCCCCATGATCTGAGGCCAGAGCTGTACAACAACGACCCCTGGGTGGAGTTCATCGATCTGGACATTGAGGAGCACAACGACAGACTGACCGATCTGGACACTGACTGTCTCATGCATCGCTCCCTTTCCTCCAACTGCACTCCCCTCTCCATCGGCTTCAGAGATGATGACTCGGGCCGGGCCAGCTGCTGTGACCCAGATCTTCAGAGCGACCCGGAGGCGTCACCTTTCCATCCTCTCATCCCAAATCAAACCCTCAGTGGGGAAACATCGTTCCCGACAGCCTGTGAGCCAAACTCTCCAGTCCAGAGCCCTACCGCTGGGGAGCCTCCTTTTGTAGAACCGGGCAGAGAGGTGTTGTACACCCAGGTGAGTGAGGTGAGGTCGTCCGGCAAGGTGCTGCTGACACCTGAGGAACAAACTGAGGTGGAGAAGTCCAGTAACAAAGACGCAGAGAAAGACATTATGGCGGCAAATGAAAAGAAGGAGTTTCAGCTCCTGGTTGTGAATCCAGATCATTGGGGTTACACCTCAGAGCTGAAGGCTGGAAAAATGAGCCCCAGATTGTCCACAGGAGACATGAGTGAACCCTGCCAGACAGGAGGAGATGTGAGTTCTTCAGCGTCCCTTTCGCCTAACAACGAATCAGATACCACCCCCATGTCCCCTCTTCCTCCGGCTCCTGTCTACACCGTGGTAGATGGTGTTGACAGGCAGAATAGCCTCTTACTGACACCAAACTCGACATCTGCACCACATCTGATAATCCCAAAGACCATGCCGATACCAGGCAGCTACCTGACCCCTGACCTTTTGGGAAGCATCACACCATAGATCAGTGGTGAACTGTCCAAAGTTAAGACTATTCAATCAGTTAAACTTGGTAACAGTTTGGGAGATTGACTATTGAGGTTGAGTGTTAAATGTCTCTCCTAAAATAGTTATGGGGCATCTGTGCCTGTCCTGCCACAACCTCTACCTCCTCCGCTCTCCCACTGCTCCCTCTAACAGGGCTGTTTAGTCAACATGGTTGAAAGTTTGGTATGAGGGAGGAAGAGCGCACAACAATGTGTTTTACTGCAGTTGTGGAAAAGAACCTTTCAAAGGGAAATGACTCAAACGGGCTGAAAACTGCCTCAAAAACTCAATATTCATCTAAAAAACAGGTCCACAACACTACTTATTAGAAAACTATCTCTGTTAAAGCTGCATCAATCAATTTCGGGTCACTAGGGTACAAAAAAACCTCTGCAAACTGACACTGCTAATTGGAAAACTGTTTTGCCATTTACAAATCCAGGTGACAAAGACACACTCTATCTTTAATTTGAAGTCATGTTTCTGTTAATGAATGCAAGTCGAATATTCAATATATTGAATAGATCACTATTCCTTTAAGCTCTGGTTTTATCAACTCTGGCTGCTAAATGCTCCGCTCTCTTTGTCAGCTAGTTGCTCATTTTGCCGTTGCAATGAATTAAAAGGGCTAAAATGCTGCAGCGCTAAACCTGGATTATATTCCCAAACGGACGCATGTATAAACAGCTGTGGAAACTGCAGACACATAGTAGTTCTGTTTATACTACTTTCTGGAGTCCCCTGGAAGGACCTCTGTAGCTTAATATTGTAGCGGTCCTTGTGGTCACAACAAACTGGATGTATGCAGTTCCTCAGGCACTGTATAATCCTGCCTTTAGAGGTAATTCCTTGTGATTTTGTCACTACAAGTACCACCTTTCACATTGCAGGTAGTCATTTCATTCACCATTAATAGAAAAGTATTGATTAATGCAGCTTTAAGTTAGAGTACATTTTTTAAAAGTATATTTTTGTCGCCTTTATGATAATGACAGCTGAGGATGGACAGGAAAGAGGGTTAGAGAGAGGGGATGATACGCAGCAAAGGGCCACAGGTTGGATTTGGACCCTGGGCCGCTGCAGCAGGGACTTGGTACGTGGGTCACCAGCTCTACCCACTGAGCTATCCAGGGCGCCCGAGTTAGGGTACATTTATTTGTGCTCTTACATGCTTTATTCCTAACATTTTGTACGTATCAAAGGGTTTCATATGTAATTGCTAGGCTATGTGAAAAAATGTCCATAAACATAAATTAATCGTGTGTCCTTTTTTATGAATCCAACATTTTTATGCTTTCCATGAGGTTTTCGGCCCTTTTCAGGTTTTTAAGACCAATACTAGCGCAATGAATGTTACTTAATCATTCAGTAATCCATTGCTTTTTTGAATATTCATGAATAATGTCTTATTGGGTTCATATTATGATGTTGCCAACAAATGATGCATAAAGCATGAGCTGTGTGTTAAAGGATCATAAAATATTAGATGTGTATCTTACTTTGATGCCATTACACACCCTGGTCTTCATTTGTGTTCAAAACTTTTTTAGAGCTGACAGACAAAATTATTTGGATTGTCAGTTTTTTAGTATTCGTTTTAGATGTGCATGGACTATAAAGGTTTTTATTTTTAATTTAGTTTCTGGTTAACAGTGCATAAAATGCAAATTAAAAGTCTGGGGTACATGGTCATCAATGTTGAATTTGTACAGGTATTGTATTTTAAGTGTTAAAGTGTTACAAAGTTACAAATAGACAACTTTCATACTTTTGCCTTCGTCTGCCTTTTTTAAAATTAATTTCAGCTATTTTACAAAACATTGCAAAGAGCACACTACTATACTAAATTAGAAGATACAGTTGTAGAATCGCAATATATATAAATAAATATAAAATATATATTTTTAGATCATATGATCATTCACATTTGAATATTTGTAATTTATTATTATTATTATTATTATTATTATATAAATTCTTATTACTGCCTTGTACGATACTACACTCTAAGTCCACACACTTTGCTCTGAAATGCTGAGTATTAAGTATTTAGAGTAACAAAGGCTTATCTTAAATACCTGAAAAATGCCGTTAAATAACTTATTTACTAGATTTACTCAGTGCTTAATGTAATCAGACGGTTCAACATCTGCTTTTATTTACATGAATGAGTAACTTCTCCGCACGAGCCCTACACCGTATGGCACGAGCTATAAACAGCCTTTTACCAGCTCGTGCAGTGTAGCTAAGCTAGCTTTAACAAGCTAACGGCTAATTTATTTATGTGACTAGTGAAGCTTTAATGAAACCGAAGCAGTAATACGGTATTTTACAGTCGTTTGTTCTCCCCTACACTATAACAATGATCAAGTTAAACGGTGTTAGTCTTGAAAACTTCATGGAGAAGTTTACTCGGCTGGAAGAGGTAAGGTAGCATTAGCTAGCTAACTCACTGATGGATAGTTAAAGACATCTTCCATTTGATTTTCTGTTCTTCAGTTTCTCACACAGCATTAGCTAGACTGGCTAAAGAGTTAAAAGGATGAGAAAGAGTTAGAGAAATGTTCTTTATATATAGATAATTATAGGGTTCTTTAGGAGTGGTAACCGTACTCATAATCTGACAGTTTCCAAGAAGATCATTTCATGTGATTATGTTCCGGGACTGTAATTAACCTTAGTCACTTTGCCAACTTTATTGTTTGCCACACTATTTGTCTAGAGTTGATCAACAGATATCTTTATCTGAAAGAGACATTGTAGGGTTAGAGCAGCCAAGTCACATAAAACAAAAGAAACGTACAACATACAATGAAACGTCATAAATGACAAACAGTAACTGGAATAAAATAAAACCTAACTCCCCAATCAAATATCCAATCTAATATACTGTGTATGAGTAACTGTATCCAGCTCTATGAGGGCCATTGTGGTATAAAGAAGTTTTTTTTTAATGTCATCTTTAATGCAAAAAAGGGGTTACAATTCAGATGTGACTTACAAAGAGTAAGTCTAAGTGTGAAGAGAATTTACTCTTGCCTTTACGTTTATCAAACAGAAAATTACAGAAGTTAATGGCAAAAACAACATGTTGGAGCTCATGCTGGAGGACGCCAATAGACTCATGAAATTCTATCTGACCAAGGAGAAAAGTCTGATTGAGGGTGAGTTTCTGTCCTTTCATTTGAAAACGGGAGCATTCGTTTTACTTTTTTCTACAGCGTTTGTTTCCCAAGATTTAAGATCCTTATTGTGCTTCGTTTGGTGTTTGTATGGCTCCCTCTGTTGGTGACTTTACCAAATGACGGTCCTCCTGACCTGGTGTCTCCAGTTTTCAGTTCAGGGAATGAAATCCCTACATTTGTTCAAATTTACAGATGAGCTGATTTATTATAGTTGCGACTTATTTGTAACACATTGTCATGCAGGTCATCATCAGTTATTTGGATATTACATTAGTTTGTATGGGAAAAAGTACTGGATGGGTGACTTTCAGTTTCACATAGTGTGTGAGGTAAATTTCTAATCACAGAAAATTAAGCAATACCTAAAAAAGAAAATGTTGTGGTTGTATAATACCCTCACTGAGTTGCTTTTAGTGGAACCTGTATGACACTAGTTGTTAAAAACAATCCATGTTGCAGAGAGAAACAGTCTTCTCGTCACTGTGGACAGACTACAGCAGACTCTGCAGGAGCAGTGCAACCTCAGAGGTAACTGTAATAACCCACTGGACACATGTTCTTTGAAGACCATAAAAAATCTCTGGATACTGAAAATACTCTGATTTCTCAGATCTCATATAGCACAGGTTTACCACACAACAGGTCTACAGCAACTAAGCTCTAGATTTAATAGTTTTGCTGTTGTTGTTTTTCATGCTGCTTTAAAGTAAAAATGTTGTATTTTCTGTGTGTTATCCATTTAGTATTATACCTATATTTGTAAATATAATCGTAAATAACCCCAAAGCACCACTGACATAGTAACTTGCATACAGATGAAATTCACTGTAAGCATCATATGATTATTCTGAAACTGCTCATGTTTAGAGGAGAATGAGAGACTGAAGAACGATATGGCGGACCTGAAACAACAGAATGAGAGAACAGTAAAGGTAGGTAGTGAGGCAGGAGTGGACACTGACATAATTCAGCATTAAATAAATTGAATACAACAATGAATCAGCAAGTTTAATTGGAAGCTGGTCTGTGCACAAGGTCATGCTCTGTATGTTCGCTTTCTGAGCACTGCAGTCATTGTTGGGTAGTGAAGTAGTAGGTATTGGTTGATAATAATAATCATTTATTTTGAATTCTTATGCACAGCAGTTGATAGACCTTATGTTCTATTAAATCCAAAGTAATTTTGATGAACTTTACTAGAAAAGGTGTGCATAAAGTACAGTATATGAAGTGTTTTTTTAAAATACAAAACTGAAATTATCGGTATCGGCCATGAGAAGCAGGTAATTATTGATTATTGTACCGGCTGGAAAATCCATATCGTGCAACTCTACTAGTGAAGACTGCAATCAATTTTTAATTATATTCTATTTATATTTTTAATTTTAAAAAATGGTACAACTGATCATCAGTCAAAGCTAAAGCAGCAAAGGAATTATTTTTCTCTGTCAAACTGTTTTTCAGCCTTAAAGTCTTTGCTTCCTTTGTTATTTATTTATTTATTTATTTATGTGATTGTGGTTAGAGATGTAGAGCATGTAAATGAACAGCATGGATTTGTATATTTGTTTTATGTGGCTGAAGAAAAAACATAACGATCAGTTGGTTCTCTCCTTAAAGCCAGGTAGCAATTCCAAATGTTTCAGCTCCAACGTCAGTCAGTGATGTTGTGTTTCCTGTGTGTTGTCATCAGGATGGAGAGGCTGAGGTTCAGCGGCTGGTCAGTGAAATGAGAGCCGCAGGAGAGAGACACAAGAGGGAGCTAGAGACTGTAAGGCAGCAGTGGAGGAGAGAGGTGGAGGAGGCTCACAGGCAGGGGCTCAGTCAGTGTAAGAACTCACAAAACACTGAGACAGTGACAGGGTTGATGGTGTAAGATGTTTCAGGGAATACTGACTTTATGAATGTACAAAATAACCTCCTTGCAGCCCTAAAATCTTAGTGCAAGACACTAAAAGTAAATCCGATATATCCTGAAATTTACATTTAACACTTGAAATCACAATGTAGGAAAAAGTGTGGCGCATTTCCTACTTCATTTCTCAGTAAAACTTCATCAAAAGAGTTTCATAACAGTGATCCTTAAAAGGTTTGTCTTGATTTCAGCCCAGAGCGTCAGAGCAGAGCAGCAGAGGAGAAACTGAATAAGACAAAAACAGAGAAAACAAACAAACAAAGCATGTTAAAGCTGAATGTGTTTTTGGCTGGTGCCTGCTTTTGGTTTATTTCCCAACAGTGGAAGCTAAAGACACTGAAGTAAAGAAGCAGTTGGAGGAAAAGGATGTGGATCTGGAGGAGATGAAGAAGAGGCTGAAGGAGCAGGAGAGGGAGAGGCAGAGCGAGCTCCTGAAGTTACAGATGGAGGTAAATTAAAAGTACAACTCTGCTTTGGTTTAAAGTTGCTAGTTTCAGCTTCTCTATGAACTTGTTGGTGTTTTGCTCTGTGTGTTTTGGCAGTTTGGTGCTAAGTTAGCCAGAGTTCAGAGTACAGCTCAGATGAGCCAACAGCAGCAGCAGCAGCAACAACATGGCTCCCACCTTCTACCGCAGAGTGTCTTCAAGAGGGTGAGCAGCCCACTCATCCTCTCCTTTTTATTACAGAAGTGAACTACCAAAGCATAAGACACATTTCAGTGGTACTGTTACTTTGGAGGAACATCTATCATATGTTTGATCCTTCAAGACTTTTAGTTTGTCCGTTTGTGTCTTTGGGCATGCAGACCTTATTAGATTTGACCTGGATGTCTCTTCCTGTTAGTCCACACCTTCTAAGCACATCACTTCCCAGTATGCCCCATTAGCTTTGTTATTTGCCTGAAGGACAAAAGTCTGACAAAGAAAGTAGCCTAAAATGTGCATTCAGACTTAATTTTCACCGTATGTTACTACTTATGTATTTGACCACTGCAGTGTTTTGATGTTGTTTTTATTCACCAGCGACAGCCAACATGCTGAGCTGTAGCTAGCTAGCAACGCAAACATCCAGCATGCGTGTGTGTGGAGTGTGCACACAAAACTTGTTTATTCTGTTCTTTCTTCCATATTTCTTTATTTCTCATAAAACCAAGGTGCAGAGAAAGTGATTTCAGTAAAGCTGATGTATTTCAGCTCTCACAGACAAGTCGCCCAGAGCAAACTCATGTTCGGGACTTTTCATCTGCATTATATATACAACCACACTCCCTCAAAATATTGCTTTGCGTACAGTCTGAACACAGATCAGTTCTGTTAAGGGTTGTTAGCCAAAGACTGTTAGCAGCATCAGGTTTTCAGAGTGACAACTGATTATTCACGAGAACAAATGTCAAACATTCTCTGGTTCCAGCTTCACAATTTGCAGCTTTTCTCTGTTTTATATCATTCTGAATTAAGTAGCAATTTGAAGATGGGAAATGGTGATGTGCATTTCTCATCACCTTCTGACATTTTAGACACTAAGTGTATCCAAAAAAATGAAATCATTTCAGAAATGGTAAACAATAATGAAAATGATAATTAGTTCCAACCCTTTAAGGAATTGAATTAGCAATCACTAAATCAGTAATTTACCTGATGCAGCCATTCACAAGAATCACTGAATAAAACATCAGTGTTTGGTGTTTTTATAGGTCAGCTGTGCCGCTCTGTTCTGAGAAATGTGTCTTGTTTATAGTGCCTCTTTCTAGTTGTGTGTGTGGATTAACTGTGTATCCTCAGAAGCTGCAGTTCTTCCAGGAGGAGAAGAACAAGGAGATTGTGGCTCTGCGTCAGAGAATCAAAGAGCTGGAAGAGAACCAGCGTCCCTGCGGCTTCAATGACGGCCGTCTGAAGAGAAGAAAGATCTAGTTTGTTTAGAGGCTAACAAGCCATTGACCTGTCAGCTCTGCAGGTGCACAAAGTCTTGACCCCCTAGGGGGCAGAAGGGACTGAGGTGTTTTGAAATTTTCCAGATTTGTATTTCACTTTCATTTCAAAGCAAAATTCAGTTCCTCAGAGCTTTCGACTTATTATATTATACTGCTTATTGTGTCTTACTTGGCTAGATGTGCACTTTCACTGCCCTGCTTGCAGGTGACCAGTGTGTACATTTAAACACAGGCTGTATTCCTGTCTAAGACTTTAATCCAATCACAGGCCTGCATGGGAGCAAATGTGCGAGGCAGGGACGTAGGGAGGGGGGAGGCGTAGACGCTCTTGAGAGTGAATCAGATAGTTGGAAGGCCAGTCCCATTCAGGGAATTAAACCTGTTTATATCCTTTTATCCAAAGACCAAATAAATCATTTAAGTCATCTCTCCTATTTTATTTTTTCAGATTTCTTGACATAAACGCGTTCTAATATTGACATTTCGGAGAGGTAGAGCTCTTGAACTCGACTTCTTGTAATGTCTTCTCATTGTTGTTTAAAAAAGCAAACTTCTGCTAACATCTGCTTTTATCAGTAGCCTAAAACCTTAATAGGTAATTAAGAATCAGTTTCTTTATATTGATTGAACTTTGAAATGAGAGTGGAGCGTTCATTGAGAACATTCATAGTAATGCAGTCAGTCTGGACTTAAAAATCATCCTGAGCAGTTCTCCCTCAATACCAAAATCCATATGTGTGATATTCTGCAGCACGTATGATGATTTCTTTATCCTGCATGCACTGGAGTCCAGTTGATGCTGGATTTTGGTCTACCAATATATCTGTGATCAATTTAAACTGAACTACACTTGCATTACGTAAAAGAAAGTAGATAGGACTGTCTTAGTGTCTTTTGACCGTAGTGTCTCCCCCACTGTCCCTCCACTGCTCCTCACAGGGACTGTACACCTGAATGAAGATGCTCCGCCTGGTCAAGTGTTGACCTCATGCTTTGTAATCTCTTTATCTGTGCTGCTCAGCCAGCCTCTAAAGGGGACAGAGAGCTAATCTCTATGGGAACATTTGGTAAGACCGTTGCATAACATTTCATCTTCACAAAAGCCAGGAGATCGACCTTACCGGTATCTCTCACACAATTGTGTTCTGCTGTGTACCTGCAAACCAAAGTACTCTGGTCATACATAATGCAGGTACACACACGTGTGTGCATGTGTCGTCTCTTGCATCCTTTTGGCCTAATTTTTGCGGACCCTGCACTGATGTCATTTGAAGGGATTGGGACGTGCCTAAATTGAAACAGGATTAGAGTTCATGACACCACATTAATCCTTCGGCCTCACAGTAAGGAGGAGTGGGTGAAGACGGGGAGAGGTGAGTGGTAAGAGGTGTGGCCAGAGAAGCCTGTCCACTTGACTTGATGGCTCAAACACACGCGCCCCCTCCCCTCCTGTGGTCTTGGCCATCCTCTCATCAGTTAGAGAGGACAGAGAAGGAGGCTATGACGGCACCACTCTGCTCTCGAGGATAGGACTTTCTGCATGGATTTTTGGATTCTGTCGCGGACCTCATCATGTAAGTGAAGTTAAATCTTTTTTCTGGGTCCTACTGGGCCGAAAGAACAGCATTTGTTTTTGTATTGCTGCTTTCAGTGGATTGTACAGCTGTGTTTTGATGCAGAGCAGCAGTCTGGAAACTTGGATAAACAACAATCTTGTTTTCTAGACTCGTTCTATTATCTCCTTTTGTTAACTTTCTCCTTCTTAATGCAGCCATTGAAGGCTTACAAGATTCTGGTCTCTAGTACAGTTACAGTAATATGTCAGCATAATGTTGCATAAGACATCTAAGATTTTTTTTTTATATTTTGGTGAAGTGTTAAAATCTAAAGGTTTCAGTGAAGCAGTATGTGTGGTGTAGAATAATTATGTGTGATGTTAAGGGGACATTTAAAGGGAATATCAGGGAAATTATGTTTCATTAAGGAAACGCGACTACACCATGATTGTACATTGTACTAATGCTTGCATCCTCATTTTGTGATTGGGTTAGACCCATTCTGCAGCTACTTTTGACAATGAATAACGCATCTGGTCTCACAAGTTAACCCTTTCTGGATACTTTTTAAACCACTGTAACATGGATATATACAGCACTGCTATGTGGTATTTCCAGTAAAGTAAATATGGTGTTTTTAACATCCTATTAGTAACTTCATGAAAAGAAAGTAACTAGTGTATGTTCAAACCACGTGCTGGCAAAGACTTAATGACATAATTGTGTTTTTGAAGATGACCTTATCTTCGGCCTGCTGCAAAAATGCCTGGAGGCCAGTACCAGGTGACGAGCACCAGACCCCGCCACAGTATCTACAGCCTGACGGACAGCTCTGATGTCGGCCCCGAGGATGAGGAGGCCGACGGCGTGCTGCACCTCACCCCCCTGCAGAAGCTCACCACCGACATGTGCAAGGACGAGAATACCATCAAGGAGCTGATCGTAGGCCGCAGGGTGGGCTTCTACAAGGTCCGCGGGGAGATTGGCTATGGGACCTTCTCTAGGGTCAAACTGGCTTTCCATGCTCTGACTAAAGGTAGGCGTACACTGACTGCATCCGTCCCTCACACCACCCAATTCTTTTGCCTTTGATCAAAGTGCTGTCACTGTTTAGAGACTCAGAACTTGTAAATAGCTTGAGGAAAAGAGTGAGCAACAGAGGGAGGTCATACACTGTTAAGCTGGATGAGAAAGAGAAAAAAAGAGAAAAAGATTTCACCCTTGTTAGTAGAGTTCTGCACAAGCCCAGCCTGTGGCCAAGTCCTTGAGACCAGACCTGCCCTGACCCTTCTGAACCCGATGGATGCTGCCAAATATAAGGGCCGAATCCTACCAAAGACTATAAATGATAACACTTACATTGCAGCTTTCTAGTCTTCCAGCCACTCAAAATGCGGTCCCATTCACCCATTCATACACTGATGGCAGAGGCTGCCATTCAAGGCGCTAACTGCTCATTAGAAACTAACTAATCCCATTCACACACAGTCACACACCGATCTTGCCCAAGGACATTTGACATGCAGAGGAAGAAACCAAGGATCGAACAACTAGCTTTCTGATTAGTGGATGACCTGTTCTATCTCCTAAGCCACAGCCACCCCTAAAAGCTTGCCTTATTTCATTCATCTCAATACAACACATTGGCTACACTCAATCTTTTTTTTCTCACTGGGAATTGCATGTGTGCTTCACAGGACATGAGATAAATTGGCACAAAGAGAAATTTCGTTTTACACAGCAAAAAATAATTTTGTGACTCTATTGGAATAAATTACTCACATGGTCAATTACAAATGACATTACATTCAGTATAAGTTGGGTAATTTGTGGTTTCTGTTCCACTTTCAACAAGTCCCGAGCAGTGTTTTTTTGGACTGTTGTATAATGTCTCCTTGCCCTTCTATCTGTCCTCTTTGTAGACAAAGTGGCCCTGAAGATCCTGGATAAGACCAGGTTGGACAGTCAGGCCCAGCGTCTGCTCTCCAGGGAGATCAGCAGCATGGAGTCGCTCCGGCACCCCAATGTGGTCCAACTGTACGAGGTAGTGGAGACGCCGAGCCGCCTGTACCTGGTGCTGGAGTACGCAGGAGGAGGAGACCTCCACAACAGGATCTGCACTGACGGGAAACTGTCTGACAACACCAGCAAGATCACCTTCGCCCAGATCCTTTCTGCCATAAAATATATGGTTAGTGACAGAGAAACATTTCTGGGTTGTTCTCAGTGAAGGGTTACTCTAAACAGGGAATGGGGTTTCATGGGATGGCCAGAGGGTGCCAAAGAGAATAAAATATATCAATATTCTCTTGGAAAATACCCCAAATTAAGAGATTTGAATTAAAAAACATGACATTATTGTGGCACATTAGTAAAGCATTAAATAGAAAACATCTAAAGGTGGAATTAGAAATCAATAAAAATAAATATTTTCAGGTCTTCGGACATATTTCCAAATACATCTATTTTTTCAATCCAATCACTTGGCCATGTGTGGCTATAACAAATAATTCAATTATATATGTTAGTTTCTGTTTTTACACATTATTAAAAAATATATTTTCAATTAATGGTTGCCTTTGACAGCATTTGACACCAGACTGGGGTGGTAGCTGGGGTGGCACCTCACTAGATCCACCCCCGACTCCACCGTTTGGGACTATGCTGGCCTGCTGTCTTACCGGGAGTTAGATAAGAAGATCAGTATCAATTTAATCCGTCAAGGGTGTCTGTAGTCCAGTTTAGCACAAACACTGGAAGGCGGGGTAAACTTATACCTAACACATCAATCTTGGTATTATTTTTAGGAATTTGAGGGCAAATTTTCTTTTCTGTAGCAGAGATGATCATTTTAGGTACCAGCTTAAGTGCTGCAGGTAATCAGCTTTAGACGGAAATGAGTCTAAATAACAGAGTTTGTCAGATTATTCACTTTGATGCAGTTACCTATAAACAAAGATGGCTTCAAAATATCTATCCAGCCCAAATCCAATTATAACAACTTTCTCCTTTTCTGTACTTAAATATGCTATGTGCTAGGCTGAAGATGAAAACGACATATCTTAAAGGTCCAGTGTGTGACATTTATGAGGATTTATTGGCAAAAATGGAATATCATATGCATAACTATTTTTTCATTAGTGTATTTTGCATTTTTGTTACGTTAGAATGAGACGGTTATATCTATAAACTGCCGTGGAATACACCATTTGGAACTGCAGTGTTTCTAGATAGGGGCGTTTTACACCTCTAGATGCCACTAAATCCTACACACTGTACCTTTAAGTTTAAGTAATGAGCACAACGTCCACTAGCTAGATAGCTAATTGGCTAGGTAGCTTGCATTTTGCTCTCAACACTAATTGTTAGCTAGATAGTTACATCTACTAGCTAATGTTAGCTATATAACTACCTAGCTAGCTAGTTAGCTAGCATTTTGCTAATATTAGCTAACTTAAGATGTGATTATATATATATATGTCACTTTTATCTTTTAAACAATTTTTAAAATGTTATGTTCCTTCTAACATAGCAACATTGACTGAGGTTCCAAAAGAGGCAGGAAGGGTCAGTTATAATTAATCACAACTATAGCGCTGTGAAGTCCCCACAAGACCAGGTATAAGGTTATCATAATCAGTAGAAGTGATGGATGGCTGTAAAATTAAAACTCCAGGTTATAATGAAGTCCCACAGAATTTAAGATTTGTTTGATATTTAGAAATATCTAACCAGCTCGTATGTTCCACTGTGCAGCATAACATCAACATCATTCACCGGGACCTGAAGGCGGAGAACGTTCTGTTCACCAGCACCAGCTGCGTGAAGGTGGCCGACTTTGGATTCAGCACGCGGGTTTCAAACCGCAACGATGCCCTTGACACGTTCTGTGGCTCGCCACCCTACGCCGCCCCAGAGCTCTTCAGGGACGAGTGCTACCTGGGGCCCCCAGTAGACGTGTGGGCCATGGGGGTCTTGCTTTTCTTCATGGTGACCGGCACTATGCCGTTCCGCGCAGAGACCATGGGCAAGCTGCGGCGCAGCATTATCGAAGGGGCCTTCACCATCCCTCCCTGGGTGCCCGGCCCCTGCCAGAGGCTCATCAAGGGCATCTTGAAGACGGTCCCTGCCGAGCGCTATGCCATCGACCAGATGCTGGGCTGCGATTGGCTCTTACCTGTGGAGTTTCCTTGGTCATTGGTGCCTCCCGAACCAGTGAGTCCTCTGCATAAACTGGGACTAAGCGGGGACCTGGAGGAGGTGGAGGAGGAGGAGGAGGAGATGGTCAGAAGCTTACTGGAGGAGCTCGGCTTTACCGCAGAGCACCTACAGAACAATCCCACCAAAGACAGCCGCAGCCCCGTCACCGGGGTTTATCGAATCCTGCTGCACCGAATCCGTAAGAGGAGGGGCTGCGACAGTCCCCCAGTGGTCCGAGGGATGGTCAGGGACCCCAAGAGGGAGGGGCTCCGGGCCTACAAGGGCCTCAGACACACCTCCAAATTGTGTGTGCTTTCATGAGAGACTGGTAGAGAGGCTTCAGCACAGTTTTTATACAGGCTTCTTTTATACGAACACTATTAGTAGCAGTAGTGGTTTTTTATTTATTTATCTGACACTGTTTATTGTAAAGTGACTTTTCACAGTTTGTAGCTTTTGATACTTTTATTTTACTCCTTCCAATGCAACTTTTTGTGATAGCCTATATGTAAAAGTGCCTGTTGAAATTAAACAAATGTAAATAAAAGTTGTAAAAGCATCCATATCAATTCAGCTGGAGTAATTTTTTTTCTCTCAAGTTATTTGATTTTAAGGGTTTTTAAAGGCTCAAAGAGGCGACATGAAGTTTGAGAAAAAGGTGGTGGTGGTGGGGGGGGGTTAAAGCTTTGGTTAAAACTACAGACCAATATAGATTACAGACTGCCTCACTGAAAGACCACAGTATGTCAGACTGCACAGCTGCTTGTCAGACGTGGTGACGAGCAGCACTGGTACACCCCAAGGAACTCTATTGGCACCGTTCCTGTTCACCCTCTACACCTCAGAGTTCTATTCCAACACCGGAGCCTACACCTACAGAAGTTCTCTGATGACTCCTCCATTGTAGGCTGTATCTCAGATGATAGGGAGGAGGAGTACAGAGACCTGATTGAGAACTTCATTGGATGGTGCGACAGAAACCACCTACAGCTCAACACAGGAAAAACCAAAGAGCTGGTGGTGGACTTCCGGCGCAGCAAGAGGACCCCCTCCCCAGTTGCTGTTAGAAGGGAGAAGGTAGAGATGGTGGACACCTACAAGTTCCTGGGGGTGACACTCAACAATAAACTGGACTGGACGGATCACACTGAGGCCCTCTACAGGAAAGGACAGAGCAGGCTGTTCTTTCTGAGGAGGCTCAGGTCATTCAACGTGTGCACTCGGCTACTGCGGATGTTCTACCAGTCTGTAGTGGCTCGGTTGTGGGGATGGAGCTGGACAGTGTGGAGGCTGTGACAGAGAAGAGGATGAGAGGGAAGCTGAAAGCCATCATGGACAACCCCTCTAATCCTCTCTACACTGGAGGCTACCATCAGCCATCTGACTCCACAACGCCACAGCTCCCAGTACCTCCAACCCACGCTGACTAAGACTGGTTTAAAACTTACAATGCACAAACTTTTTGCACAACTATTTATATTTAATTTCTACATACAGTTTAGTTTTAGTCAAGATGCTCAAATATTTGCACACCATTCTTAATTGCATATTGCATATACTTTCCTTTATAGTCATTCATTTCATTGATATTTTCTATTATATTTTGTAATATTTTATTTTGTGATATCTTGTTCTACCTCCACCTCTGTACTCTTTTTGCACTACGTTGCCCTATGCTGCTGTGTTCATTTTAATCTTTATCCTAAGGGGGATCAATAAAGGAACATCTTATCTTAAATTCCTTTTCCTTCCTGATCCAATAAAACCTTCATACAAAATATATTTGTGTTCCTATGTTTTGCTTTTCAGTCCTTTTGAGTGCACAGAGGGCTGCAAGTGCACTGTAGGTTTGTTGAAGGGAAAGCTTGCAGCCACTTAAACCAACCCTGTCTCCTGCAAAGACTCTTATTGTCCATGAAAAACTACATAAAGCGGTGAAAACCCTGGTGCGTCAGTCAGGTTTGATTGTGGGGGCAGAGCAGGTGGCTGCACCCAAACACAGCTCCTCTCGCGTCTTTGTGGCCTGTTTACCAAAGTTTCACTAAGTGCGTGCGAGTAAATAATAGTCCCGACAGCAGCTGGCAGGACACCAGATGATACACAGGACCCCTCTCCTCGTCTCCGCAACCGGCCCAAACCGGCCAGACCCAACCCGGCTGCCCCCTCTGGCACTGGCTCCTCCCAGCCCCTGCCCTGCCCGACCCCCACCTGCAGCAAGCGGCAGATGGCGCGGCGTGGCTGCGGAGACATCTGCAAGGCCAGACAATAGGCGCTCTGTGCGGACCGCTGGAGCTGACAGGCCCCGGAGCTCCGCTATTGTGCGCTGCGCCATACACATGCAGATGAGGTCTGCTGGAGGAGGGACCTTTTTTTTTTTTTTTTTACTGCCAGGGTGAGCAGATGACAGGCCTTAGCGCCTTCCATGCAAATCTGCGGAGTTTAAAACTTTTGATTGTTTCATGTCCACCCACCATCCCTCCCTCCCTCCCTCCCTCCCTCACCCCTCACCACCTCCTCCACACAAACACACACACAATACACACGACTCAAGCGTGAAACCCTCGCTTTGTGAGAGAAAGTGACAACACATGACGGCAAAAAAATATGATCTTTTTGTTTTTTATTAAGCATTTTCCACTTACAATTTCAGACAGTTTCTAATGTGAAGCTGTCATAGAGATATACATCATTTCGTTTCCAACATTGTTCCAACAGGATCACAACATCTTCAGTCAAAGAGTTTCATTTTTAACATTTCTGTCTTCAGTACATAATGAAATGTTTATAAGATATTCTTACAAATTCTCATCATTTTTAACTTAATGTAGCCGTTTTCTAAAGTGAAACCTTTAGAGAACAGACCATTTTTTAATTTTTTTAATATGTTTTATAATATTTTTTGTCATCATTAAATTTCTAAAGTGAAACCTTTAGAGAATTAAGACAATTCTGGAAAGTGGGAAACATTTGCGCTGATTGCAACTGTTGTCATGTTGCTCAGCGAAGAGGACATCTTTAAAAAGTCTCTTTTTAAGAATGCCTCTTTCTCAGCACCGCTTCTTCTCCTGCTGCGCGTGCTTCAGAGTGCGACATTTGCTCTGTGGAACCACAGGACGCAGAATTCGCTTCTCCTTCCTCTCCAAACCTCATCCGCACAAAGAATGAGGGTCGATGTGTCGCTCTTGCGGCATACCTGACCTCATTCACATAAAGAATGAGAGTCATCTTGGCATGGACGGGACAAGAGGCGACGGTTCACGGGGGCCCCTCGGGCCGGCGCCGTGCTGCCTGGACGGAATCCTCCTCAGGAGTATCCAGGGATGAGCAGAAACAGGGTCATCCTGTTCATCAGGATGAGTATTTCCAAATAAGAAGCTTTACAGCATCTGAGCAAGAGAGGGAGCCGAGTCCCAGATCAGCGCTCGGGCAGGCTGATCTCAGGGACCCAGTCGTTCAGACGCCGGCTCTCCTCACAGAACAGGTGCAGCTTCTCCAGAGCAGGGTCCTCCCAAGACCCGTCAGCTGGGTTCTGTTCAGAAAGGAAGGGGAAAGAGGCTTTAGTCACACGTTTTCTTTCAAACAGCATCACATATAGACTTCAGAACTGATTCAGGATGATAGAATCTCGTGTCTCTGAGCTCTACATACCGTGATGAGGACGCAGTGGGCATCTTCAAGCTGCTCTGCCTTGTCGCCAACAATCTCAGCCAAACGCTGCATGTCGCTCACTCTGACAATGCTGATGTCGTTGTCGAAGCAGAAGGACTGGATGAGGGTGAAGTGGATCTGCAGAGCGATGTCGCACTCGAACTCCTCATCCACGGCCAGGACGCAGAAAGACACACTGTCTGGATCACTGTGGAGACAAAATAAAGAAGTTTGTGAGATTTCATTCAGAAAAGGAACCAAAACAACCAGATAAGACTGATGGGAATGTAGTAAGCTGTCAATCTGCGGCTGAGGGTCTCATACTTACAGATTCATAACTTTTGCGCTCTCGTAGACACCGACGGTGATGGAGTCGTTGTCTTTAGCCGACACCAGGACCTCCTCCAGGGCTTTGCCGGTGCACTGAGCACGCTCGGTGGGCTTCTGGATCAGAACTTCCTCAAGAGTCATGATGAAGACGGTGGAGATATTCCGCAAAGGGAGAGCTTTAGAAAGGTTTGGACGGAGAGTAAAATCCGAAAGGGAGCAGAGTGCTTTGAAACCCGCAGCCTCCCTCTTTTATACTCTGCAGCTCGTGCGGCCCAGTGAAAGCGCTGCGCCCTGATTGGCTCGAGCTGAATGGTGTATTGGTATGATAATGCTATTGTCACACTCTGGCTCGTGGCAGATTGATGGGGGTCATCGAGCCACGCACGCTCCCCCTCTGAGCGCAGCAGCCACGGCCTGAAACTAAAAATAGCTTCATTAAAAAAGAAGTTTGATCGCTCTGCAGCACTTTATGCACACTGGAGGAAACACAGCAGGTGACTGTATCTGCAGAGATGCACGCTGGACATCGGTTATACATACTTTTACATGCATGTATAATCACTCTTATGCATGCACAGAAGTGGAACTTTGCCCTTTTTGGAAACAAAAACTAGTTACAGACCAGTTTTGGCCCATAATCCACCTTTCAGTTTTCAAAGAACACTAAATATGAACTCCACTAAAATAAAACTCAACAAACTCTCAATAGTTTTTCTTGCATTTTAGATTTTAGTCACAGTGTTTAAGCAGCAACATGGAGAAAGTGTGGAGAGCCCCCTCCCCCCTCGCTCAGCAGAGAGAAAGGGCAGGTGGATGATGCCATCTGTGGACTAGAGGCTGGCCATAAAACGGCCTCATTGTGCGCGCAGAAGCCCTCTATTATTACGGCCCCCATACAAATGCAAATGACCAGCGCGTGCCAGAACGCTGTGCGTGCTGCGCAATCTGCACTGCTGGCCCATGCGGGCCACGTGGCCATCAGCTGTCCAGAAAATCCTTCCTCGGTTTTTATTTATTTACTCTGGGGAGTTCAGGGGCCACACGGACTGTATTCTATAGGAAAACTGAGGAAGTTTATTGCACTTTTGTTTGGTGTTTGGTGCGTAGAGCCACCAAATGTCTTCATCTGTGATTTTATTCAAACTTATTTCTGACAACTTTCTGTTTATTTCCGATCACTTTTTAAGCACCACAAAACTTTTACGCACAGCTTTATTTCATCTGTTCCACTGACTGAGGAGTTTATCCCCTGCAGCTCGTGCTTATTTGGTTATGTATTTAGTATTCGGTGTGAATCCACTAAATGTCTTTATCTGTGTTTTAAATAAACTTCTTTCTGACAGCCTTGTGTTAATTTCGGATCACTTTTACGCACAATTAAACTTTTACGCACTCCTCTATTGCCACTAATAGAACAAGTTCTCCCCAATAGTCCGTGCATATTTGGTTCTATTTTATCTGCATAATATTCCAAAACACATCTTGCATCAGGTCAGACCTGCTGCCACTGCTGCGTAAATAGAGGAGGGGGCTGGAATGGAGAGGCGGTGCAGGAGACACAGGTTGGCGGTGATTGATTCAGCGCTATTGTTCTGCGGAAGGCAGAGCGGCAGATGGAGAACTGTCGCTATGAGGGGACCCCCCCCCCTTCTCTCTCCTAAACCCAGGTCAACTCCGACCCCAGGGCGCGCCGTTCTTTTGTCTACAAGTCTCCACATTCGCCGATCTGTTGTCTGAGTTTTGATTAAATTTGAATGCCAAAGAGGAGAGCTCATGGTCCAAACTTTCACAATGAAAAGTGTTATCTCCAAAAGAGGCCAGACGCTTAGAGGCAGATAGAATCACTTTCAGTTTGAGCTGTAAACACGTGCAAGAATGCTGAAAGTGTGTTGTGTTAAACAACAGAAGTCGTATCTGCAGCAGCATACATTACTGCAGCAACACACTCCTTTGTTTATTTCTACATCGCTTTCAGTTTCTGTCTGCGCGCTGCAGACTCATCAGCTGGCAGAGAGAGGCTTACATTTGGGCCAAAGTTTGATTTGGATCCAGCTGATTGAGACTCAAACACTGAGCTATTTTAGGAAGGATCAGCTTGCATGGCCACAGGGCAGGCGCGTGCAAATCGATACCGACCTATTGTTGCTGAAGCACATCTGCCAGACGGAGGCCTCTCTGGCAGCGCGCGACAGGTGTTGGTGGTCAAAGCTGTTTTCTGGTGACCTGCGGCGACTCCTTGAAGCCCTAAACCTCTTTGTACGGATAGAAAGTGTCTAAAGCTGCAGGATAAGATGATATGTATCTGGCATCTGTTGTGCGCAAATATGACTAAATATTAGGGGAAATAGGCTAATATTTAAGAAGAGAAGGAGAAAGTGTATACAATAAATAACTATTTATTTTTCATTGATCAAATATGTGTTATTGAGCTATAAAACAAGCAAAGCTCAACAAACTGAAGTGTGATTTAGCTAAACTCGGACTTATAATATCATCAGAAATCATATTTGCAGGGGAATGAAAAACGGCCCTCACGTCCAGCAGGTGCTACCTGACTTACTTCCTTTGTCCACCCTTCCCCTCACCTCCCCCCCGGGGACAGATGGTATCTCTCGGTTGCTATGGGGAGTGATGCAGACAGAGAGATAAAGCATGCAGGCATCTCCAGATGCCACGCGCCTCAAGTGAGGCCCGGCTTTACGCATGCAAAGCAGCGGCGCGTGCCACTGCCTAATATATAAATAAAGTTCATGTAGTGAAATCGGTCATGAGTTATAAAAGTCTGTCTGACTTCCAGTGCAAGTAACACAGTCGATTTATGTGCATTAGGACGCTTAAAATAGTACAGAACTGCAGCATACTAATGGTTTTTATCAATATGCTACCTACTCCTTTTACTTTTACTGTATAGTATATAAATATATACTATGTGACAAAGAAAAGGTCTACATGTAATTTAACTTACTGTATAAACTATATATTCTCTTTATTCATCTAATCTAGACAATTAGGTCTCTGCAAACATTCTGTAACTTCATAAGAGCCAATCAAGGACCAAAGCAAGCAAACCACTACTGTACTGTGGGGGCTACTTTACATATTTGAATGCATGCTGTACAGATTTAAATGTATTTTGAATGTATTTTGACAGGTTGTCTAGGTTGTCTTGGTTTCTATTAGTACAGGGACATTCAAAGGTGAAAAGGTATACTGGAGACTTAATCCAACCTTAAACTTTGATCAAACTTTAGGCATGCTACTTTAAGAACAGTCCAAGAACAACATTTATTTTAGACCTCAAGTTTTACAGAAAAAAACCACAATGCAGTGGAAAAGTTATTTCTTATGACATGAAGTAATAAGTGTCACATTTTGTGCATTGTTGTTTTCTTTCAATAGTTTGTTGCATTTCAGGACTCAGTGTCAGATTTAAGATGTGTTTCTCTACCAGTCCAGTCAGCCATTGGCTTCCATTCATTTCCGCACAACATAAAAATTATTCTGCAGACTCTTGAAACTTGCTTGAATTGTGTGTTCAATCACAGTGGACATCAAGTTTGTATTTGTTCTTTGTTACATTATAAGTTTCATTATAATTGCATGGTACAATACCATTTTAGTTTAAACCAAAGCTTTTTCATTTGTAAGTACAGATTGATTTGAAATGTCTGCACTGCATTACCTCATAACAATAAAGTACATTATTGTAATGAGGTTGCTACCATAATGAATGCAGACTTAATGTTCACTACTATGTATTGCACAGCTGAAGCTACATGTCTGCTAATTGATTTTCACCTTGTACATATATGAATGGAAGTCAATGGCTGACTGGACTGGTAAGGAAACTACATTTTCGAAATATAAAGCTTAGCTTTTAACTTAAACTGTATTAGTATGCAATTATTATGCAACTTTTACAAAAATAAATAGAGATTCGATGTTCACTGTGATCGATTATACAACTCAAGCAAATTTCAAGGGTCTGCTATTACATTTTCACTTTGTACAATGGAAGCCAATGGGTGACTGGACTGGTAGGGAAATATGTTTTAAAATCTGACTGTGACTTTTGAAATGTGGTGCAATGTAGAAGGCTGCCTGGCAAAAAAATGGCATTGGTTTGGTTTGAAAAATGTTCAGCTGTGATGTAAAGTACTGTAAATGTGAACATAGAAAAACCCCTTGTATGGTCTTCGTTTGAATGGGAGTCACTGGTCTCCTCTTACTCTTCCAGAACTTTGAGGACTTTGATGACAGCAGTCTTATCTTCCTGTGTGGTTATTATTCCTGTAAGCTGAAAGAATCATTTAAAGGTCAGAGAGTTTCTACATCTGATCCTTTCAACCAAAGCTGCCCCCGACTTTCTAAGACTTTTCTATAGGCACGCGTCCCAGAGGGTGGGGTGGGGGCTGTAGGCCTGTTGTAGCCATTGTGCCCCAAACAGCCAATCAAAGAGTGAGCGTGTGCCGGGTCTGCAGTATAAATGCTGGCAGATTCCTAGAAGGAAGCACAAACCCTGTTCTCTGGACTTTCTGATCACATCAGCTGAACTGTAAGCTAATACATCACCATGCAGTCTCCTGGAAAATCTCTGAAAGAAGCTCTGCTCTGTGCTCAGAGCGAGGATCGACTCACTGTTGGAGTCTATGAGAGTGCTAAAATTATGACTGAGTAAGTAAACTAAACATGACTTAAACAAAACTTTGCCATTCTCTGTTGGACCAACATAATCAAAATCAAACAGCAGCAGCTAACAAGACTTTTTTTGTCCACAGTGATCTAGACAGTGTGTCTTTCTGTGTCCTGGCTGTGGATGAGGAGTTCGAGTGCGACATCGCTCTGCAGATCCACTTCACCCTCATCCAGTCCTTCTGCTTCGACAACGACATCAGCATTGTCAGAGTGAGCGACATGCAGCGTTTGGCTGAGATTGTTGGCGACAAGGCAGAGCAGCTTGAAGATGCCCACTGCGTCCTCATCACGGTATGTAGAGCTCAGAGACACGAGATTCTATCATCCTGAATCAGTTCTGAAGTCTATATGTGATGCTGTTTGAAAGAAAACGTGTGACTAAAGCCTCTTTCCCCTTCCTTTCTGAACAGAACCCAGCTGACGGGTCTTGGGAGGACCCTGCTCTGGAGAAGCTGCACCTGTTCTGTGAGGAGAGCCGGCGTCTGAACGACTGGGTCCCTGAGATCAGCCTGCCCAAGCGCTGATCTGGGACTCGGCTCCCTCTCTTGCTCAGATGCTGTAAAGCTTCTTATTTGGAAATACTCATCCTGATGAACAGGATGACCCTGTTTCTGCTCATCCCTGGATACTCCTGAGGAGGATTCCGTCCAGGCAGCACGGCGCCGGCCCGAGGGGCCCCCCGTGAACCGTCGCCTCTTGTCCCGTCCATGCCAAGATGACTCTCATTCTTTATGTGAATGAGGTCAGGTATGCCGCAAGAGCGACACATCGACCCTCATTCTTTGTGCGGATGAGGTTTGGAGAGGAAGGAGAAGCGAATTCTGCGTCCTGTGGTTCCACAGAGCAAATGTCGCACTCTGAAGCACGCGCAGCAGGAGAAGAAGCGGTGCTGAGAAAGAGGCATTCTTAAAAAGAGACTTTTTAAAGATGTCCTCTTCGCTGAGCAACATGACAACAGTTGCAATCAGCGCAAATGTTTCCCACTTTCCAGAATTGTCTTAATTCTCTAAAGGTTTCACTTTAGAAATTTAATGATGACAAAAAATATTCCTCAAAAAAGTATTGGAAAAATACTATCTAAAGGTTTTTACTTTAGGTATTTAACATTGAGAGAAAAATACAAAAAAGTGTTAAAAAGAAAAGAAAAAAGTGTGAATCTGATTTTGAATCTGAAAATATGAAAAATATGGGAAAAAGAAAACTGAAAATGTACTACTTCTTGAAGGTTTCACTTCAGCTCGATTTATGTCAAATGAAATAACTTGTACACTGCATATTTTTTTGTAAGATGGAAACATAGAAATAAAATATTTGAACTCAATATTGCTCTCAGTCTGTACTTTGACTTTTCCATATGAGGTTAAAGATGCTGGAGATTACATATCATAGCAGCTCCAGTCTGGTTTGACTTTCTGACATTCTGAATCCTTTCTGAGGATTTAAAATAAAGTTTCCTCAATCTGCAACTCAAAACAACAGCAAACATGTCATGTTTTATATATGGACCTCTGTGCACTTTTACACATCAATATGACTCTGGAGAGGCTTTTGGTTTGGAATAATCATTCAAGTGTCCTGCACAAGAATGGGAACCCCTTCATACGTTTGTATTGGTAGGATGGAATATGTATATTACATGCTGTCATTTGAAGGCAAGAGATAAAAAACAGTGCAGTGTGTAACATTTGTGTAACACCTGTAATGCAAGTTTAGCATATAAAAAGGAAATACTTTACATTTTGATCAGTAAATGTGCTGATTACAATGTAATGTGCATGTGGCTGGATGGTGACTAGGGTGGAGGTGGTCTTCACTATTCTTCTCTTCTCTCTGGCTCAATATGATATTTTATTTGACAGATTTGATCTCTGTAGGCTGTCCTCCACTTAGATTAACTGACCACATGCTGGGCATTGGTTTTTCCAATTTCTAAACTGAAAAAGAAATATCGTGGAAACTATTTTTTTAGAAACAGCTCTCCAAAATCACAGTCTAAATACATTTGAACTAAATATTATGGAGTGCAGTTGCGTAATCGGGCTTTCTTTTACATTTAGAGCATAACTTTAAATGAAAAGGAAATTGTTTGTGCAGCAGTTGCAATACAAAGTAGGAAAGCGTGCAATATAAACAAGGTTAACAGTGAAGTTGCTTCTTGGTGAGTTGGATATACATATGTATGAGAATGTGGCATATATGTTCAATATCAAATCTCAACTATCGGTAAGTGAATTGATAAAAAATGTTACATAATTATGTCCATGATATTAAAGAGTGATTCCCATAATATCCCATAAATCAGAGAGTTGTAATGATTGTAACCAGAGAGAAAGACAGATCAAACAAACAGCTGAAATGGAGGCTGGAGCAGCCACAGCATCCACCACCTCTGCTACCCCTCACTGTATGCAGCCGCAGGCAGCAGGCAGTTAGCTTAGCTTAGCATTAAGACTGGAAACAGGTAACATGGCCCTGTCCAAAGGTAACATAATCCTCCTACCAGCACCTCTAAAGCTCACTCATTAACACGTTAACATGTTAATGAGTCAGTACCCCGTTCTATCTTTGTACAACTGAAGTGTAAAAAAGACAATTGGAGCTTTTTTATGGCTAAGCTAAACCACAAAAAACACAAACATGAGAGTGGTCGGACTCTTTGCAAGAAAGCAAAGACGCATATTTCCCCAAAGTATCCCTTTAAATAAGAAGCAAAACCATCAGTGTAAGGCTTCAGGCCGACGTTAGGTTAACACAGGTAGCTCATTGATTTCACTTTATTGTACTGACATCCACTGCACTGTAGCATTATGATAATTCTGCTGGTTACCCACAAGACAGAGAGGCAAAATATTCCTTCCATAAGAACTTTCCGGTGACATAAAATGTCAAAGTGCTGCAGCAGCTGTTGAGATGTCTGTAGTGACGTTTGTCTTGATGTCTGTGCTTTCAGCTATCGATCGCCTGGGGACTACAGAAAATGAGCTCAATTAGCTAAATGAGCTAATTGCTGGCTAATTCTGGTTTCTGAAATGTTACTGATATGCACCGTCCCTGTCAAATAAAAGAAATAAAGAAGTGTTATTGTCAGTAAATCCCAGTGACTCTGAGCTGGTGAGACGTTTTCTGACTGTGTGCAGCTCAGTGATTCAGTATGTTTACAGAACAAATGTCATACTATCTTTAACTAGAATCATTAACAGAAGCTGTAGATTTATTTCATGGTGCTGTCTGCGGCTTAATGAAGGTGATCTTTTGCTCCTGGCACACGCTGCCTTTTTCTTTCCTTCCTCTCATTTGTGATTCAGAACTTTAAGAGGCTTTTGTGTCTTTGCACTCTAAAGTCACTCTGACTGCGTGTTGCATGTCACTGCAAACTATTGTGGAGTCAACAGCTGCTGCAGCCCCCACGCCCCACTGTGACACACGCTCACACACAGACACATGCACACACACGCTCATTACAACTTCAAATAATGCAACGCTTCACCAGAATAAAAAAACAAAACAAAACAGACCAAAGAAGAAGAGTGACTGATTCTGAGTCCGTACAGTTGCAACATATCATTAAAACCTGGAGGAGCTTCATCATTCCCTGTGCCGCAGCCTCACGTGTGCATGTACACAAACACACCCTCCATGTCCAAAAAAGAAAGAAAAGAAAATGGACCAAGCAGGACCAGCTGAAACGCAATCACCCCTTTAAAATCTCCACGGCAACCAACCCAGCACTTACTCCATCTGCTGTCCAATTTAATGATGAGGAGAAAGGGAGAGAGGAGGAGGAGGAGGAGGAGGAGGAGGAGGCAGTGTGCCTGGCACACTGCCTGCTGCCATTCATCCATTCAGGACCAAATCCTGACTAACAACAGCATCCCCCAACAGTCAGCACAAACACAGCAGAGTCCCTGCAGGGTGGAGCTGATCCCACTTACTGTTACGTCACTGTAAAAATGTGCTTTTTAGGAATCAGTCATGCTGCTTTCTTTCTGAGAGTGAGATCAGAACGATCTCATGCTGGAGCTGGAGTCACTGTTAGCTTAGCTTAGCTTAGCATGAAGACATGGAAGCAAGGGGAAACAGCACCTCTAAAGCTTACTAATCAACATGTATAGTTTGTTTCATCTTCACACAAACATGTAAGAATACTGTATAATATCTGTGAGTCCCTCTGAACTCTTTCACCCTGAACAACCTCGGCTGCCCTCTGTCTCAACCCGGGTCATAAAGAGCTCTGCTGCTGCAGCCACATGCTGCTTCTCAAGTGTCCTTTCAACATAAAAGCCTCCTCCTCCTCCCAAAATCTTTTCTGTGTGCTGGAGAGCTGCAGCAGATGGTTGTGATGGGCCGCAGTGTGTGTGTGTGTGTGTGTGTGTGTGTGTGTGTGTGTGTGTGTGTGTGTGTGTGTGTGCATGTGTGTTTCTGTGTTTTTAGTTTGTTGGTGTTTTGGGTGAGCAGGTTGCCTTGGATACAGGCATCAGCATCCCCTCCACAGCTCAACTCAAATAGGTTTTTATCTATCTACATTTATTTGTTTGTTAAGTTATTTATCTATTTATTTTTAGGCGCACACTTTATCAATTGATTACAAAGTGAAGAAATGGAGGAGGATGACACTGATCGGACATTTTCATTATTCTCAAAATCATGCTACTGTCAGTAAGTGAAAACAAGACACAAGAGCATTATGTATTTACAGCCATACAGCATTTGTTCATGAAGGAGCCCTGACCAACTTCATATTCAGCTGATGTGTGTTTAGTTTAGGAAAATATGTGTGAACAAATGTAGTAAGTATCTATTCTGCTTCCACTTGTTTCATTGAAGCAATATGATGTGAAATATTCAAACTCCATACATTTTCTGTCGTTGGGATTTCATTTACATTTTCTGAAAAATGTTTGTCCGAACAAGGTGAGTTTGCAAAGATGGGTCCGTAGTTGCTGACTGCTGACTCGCTCTGTCTGATCGCTATGCTAATATACTTTTAACTATGCTAATGTCGTCCTCCATCATTACCATAAGCCTGCTGCTGTCGTGCTGCAGGTCACAGCTCAGGGTCAAACAACACACACGTCTAACTCTGTGTGTGTGCGTTTGGACAGAGCCAGGCTAGCTGTTGTCGTTGTGTGTATATGCACACACACAACAACAACAACAGTGCACACACCCATTCCCTCAGTCATCAGCTGTTGATGCTAATTTCTGTTTCTGATCTCCATCAGTGAGGCCTGTTTCAGCTCATGATGAATCTAATCACTAATTACATTAACAAACCTGAAGCCCCTCAGGCTGCTCCTCCCTAATAAAAACATTGTTTTCATTCAAATGCTTCCTTTTTAACATCTTTTGCAGTTGCAAGATTCAAAACATCATTGCTTTGGTATTAAAGGGTGATAATTTGTCTAGTTCTGAAGACTTCAAAATAAAGGTTGCATTGCATTACAGTTAGAGCTATAATTGGATGTTGGGTAGAAGCGAAAGAGCATTTGTTTGTATTAGATTTTATCTTTACAGGCAACCAGAGTGTAAATAAATATGGAGATAAAGTATTCTTATCTGTTTACATCCACAGTTGCAGCTTGTAAACACAAAGTGGACAGGCAGGCGCACACACACACACACACACACACACTGCCAGCTGTTTCCAAAACACTGGTCTGCCTCTCTATTCAGTGGTGGGGCCCTCAAGGGCCTCGTTCAGACACAGCAGCAACACTGTGTGTGTGTGTGTGTGTACATGTGGGTCTTGTGTTTGAGCCAACATGAATCTTGAGCATAAAAGTTCATTCTAGGAAATATTAGTTTCCTAATAAAAAAAATATACAGAAACTATTTCACTCAAGGTCCGCCTACTAGCTTTTCCCGGAGCTTTCAACCACATATCATAGTTTAAAGATAGATACTATTAGACTTCTGAGGAGATTGTAGATGTTGTGCATGCAAGATTGAAATGAGGAGACCGGACTTGACACTGACAACACTTATTTGTATCTGTGTGTGTACATGCAATGTGTGTAGAAGCAGATCAGATGGCTAAATGTGCTTGTACTGCGCCCCCATCCATTGCACGCCCTCACCAAAACAAAACTCAGACAAAAGCTACAGCCAACACTTGTACACCCTCATCAATGGGCACAAAGAGCAGAAAAACGACAGGAGGGGCCCAGCACAAAGGTGCACCGAGACCCTGGCCCTCTCTCCTCTTTTGTGCTGAAGAATGGCGAGGTCCAGGAGCAGCTGCTGCTGGCTGCACGGGACATTTGAGATGGTCCCTTTCACTAAAAACAAAGTCTGGAGCTGTGAGTGTGCAGGCTGCAGGGC